GTTAGGGTTTTGGTCGAGGAGAGGCCCTGACTAACGCTTTACAGTTTACGGAGAGGTGAAAAGGTTATGAAGCACGTGTGTCTAGGGTGAATTCCCTGCGTCTCTGCCTGTGGTGGTTATATGGTATGCTAGGTATGCTTGGTATGTAGACCATGTCCCTCTGTGCTCTGGCCGGCTGTCCTTCCCCGGCAATTGGGAAGAATCCGATCACCATCGTAAACATCCCATCTCCATCTTGCAGCAGAGGTTGCATGTGGGTTTTTTTTTTTTTTGGGGGGGGGGGGGGGGGGGGAGGGATGGAGGGGTAAATCACTGCCTTACATGAAGAGCAGACAGACAGACAAAGCTTTGTTGTGTCCAGGTGTGGCCGTCCGCTGGTAGAGAGGTGTCGCTACTGCTGCCGGGAATTGCTTTTTTGCTGCCTGCCTGTTCTCCCGACTCCCCATCATCCCAGCGACCTGGGGAAAACCAAAGTGGTGATAGTTCTCTTTTTTTAGTCGTAAGCGTTACATCAGTGCAACTTCTTCCCTCTTCCCTTGAACTCTCCCTTATCAGAGCTCTGTGAGTGGTCAGCTTATCTTCGCTCGCCGCCTACGGAATCAAAACACCAAACTTTTTGGTTCGCGCGCAAATCTCCGTAGCGAGAAAGATTTTGGGATGGAGTGCTTTCCCCGTTTGGGGTTTATTTTACGTTTCTGTAATGTACCTTGACGCCGAGTTCCTCCGTACGGGGCGTGGGAACGAGACGACACCCCATCCCACGTCCTGTCGTGTGTGTGGTTGGCGGTGGTGCGACATGTTCGATATCTGATTTTTGGAAGTCCTACCCTGATGTAGCGATGCAGAGGGGGGGGAATCCATGCAAGGTGAAACTTTTTTTACTATTTCGTTTTACGGATCTCTTATTCTTTTTGCTTTACCCGCATACAAATCTGGCCGCGATCCAGGTCTTCGGGAGGGTACAATCTACCGACAAGGTCCCGTTGCTATTGCAGCCTGGCGCTAGACCTCTCTGGGCGGAAAAAAGCCCCACCACAGCACCGTATCTCGACTTCTTGATGATGTATTTCAGTGGGCTAAGCAATCGATAAGGAACTGAAAGAGGGTAGCACCACGATCAACCTTGATGCGGGGTTCGGAATATAGCTGACTGTAGTGAATTACGCCAGAGAAAATCTTTTCCGCGTTCCTTTTTCTCTCTCTGCTGCTGCTCGTCTCCCTCCTCCCCACGATTAGCGTGATGTGGCTAGCCAGCGGATGGGATGGCTTGTCCTTCGGGGGCGATAGGGATAGGGATAGGGTAGAGTTGTAGTGATTGCAGAGTGCGAAACCTTGACATCGGGAAGGCTTTAAAGAGGGACCTGTCGCCCCGCCATCTGGAGTTGAAATTTCCTAGCACCACAGTTGTTTGGATAAGCCAGTCTTAGATACCCCTTCCAACAAAAGTCGAAGAACTCTCATCCTCTCCCACATCAACCACAATTACTAGAATCTCTTGAATTCTTCTTCATACCACCCATCAGTCAACATGTCCAACATTGCTTACGAACCCGAGTTCCAGCAGGCTTACCACGGTATGTTCATATCGATCATTGACCCCGAGTTTTGTACTGACTTTCACCCTCTTCAGAGCTTGAGTCTTCCCTCTCCGGCTCCAAGCTCTTCACGGTCTCCCCCGAGCTCAAGGCTGCTCTCCCCGTCGTCTCCGTTCCCGAGCGCGTGATTCAGTTCCGTGTTACCTGGGAGGACGACAAGGGCCAGCTCCAGGTCAACCGTGGATACCGTGTCCAGTTCAACTCCGCTCTCGGACCATACAAGGGCGGTCTCCGTTTCCACCCCACTGTCAACCTTTCCATCCTCAAGTTCCTCGGATTCGAGCAGACCTTCAAGAATGCCTTGACTGGACGTGAGTAGTCCAATTTGACTCTTATGACTTTTTTGGGACCATTTTTACTGACATGTTTCTTTTTGATAGTCAACATGGGTGGTGGCAAGGGAGGATCTGACTTCGACCCCAAGGGCAAGTCTGACAACGAGATCCGCCGCTTCTGCTACTCTTTCATGCGCGAGCTCTCCCGCCACATTGGCCAGTTCACTGACGTCCCAGCTGGTGACATCGGTGTCGGTGGTCGTGAGGTCGGTTACATGTTTGGTGCCTACAAGGCCTACAAGAACCAGTGGGAGGGTGTCATCACCGGTAAGGGAACCACCTGGGGTGGATCCCTCATCCGCCCTGAGGCCACTGGTTACGGTCTCGTCTACTACGTCTCCCACATGTTGTCCTACGCCTCTGGCGGAAAGGAGACCTTCGCCGGCAAGCGCGTCGCCATCTCTGGATCTGGAAACGTTGCCCAGTACGCTGCCCTCAAGGTCCTTGAGCTCGGCGGAAAGGTCATCACCCTCTCTGACTCCAAGGGTGCCTTGATTGCCACCTCTGAGGAGGGCTTCAACGAGAGTGATATTGAGCAGATTGCCCAGCTCAAGCTCGACCGCAAGTACCTCACCGAGCTCCACTCCACCCAGGACTCATTCAAGTCCCGCTTCAAGTACCTCCCCGGTGCCCGCCCCTGGTCCAACGTTGAGCGTGTCGACATTGCCCTCCCCTCAGCGACCCAGAACGAGGTTTCCGAGCAGGAGGCCAAGGACTTGATCGCCGCCGGATGCAAGTTCATTGCTGAGGGATCCAACATGGGTTCTACCCAGGAGGCCATCAACGTCTACGAGGAGGACCGCCGCACCCGCAAGGCTGAGGGTATCTGGTACGGACCCGCCAAGGCTGCCAACTGTGGTGGTGTCGCCGTCTCTGGTCTCGAGATGGCCCAGAACTCCCAGCGTGTCTCATGGACCTCTGAGCAGGTTGACAAGGAGCTTGCTGGAATCATGGAGAGGTGCTTCTGGAACTGCCTTAACACTGCTAAGGAGTACTACGACATTGCCGAGGGCGAGCTTCCTTCGCTCGTTGCTGGTGCCAACATTGCCGGATACGTCAAGGTTGTCACTGCCATGAAGGCCCAGGGTGACTGGTGGTAAATGCTTTAGTTTGGCGCGAGTAAAAAAAATCAAAAATTAATGGAGTTTACGTCTTTTTTTTCTATCTTTTTTTTCTTTCTACTTTTTAACTTACTAGGGTCACTGTTTATTGGTTATGGGATTCTGGAGCTGGGAAATGTACAGTGCAACTTATTTTTTCTTTTTTTATTATTATTTTTTTTTTACCCGACTTTTGGATTGAGCGGGCTTACACTACATCTACAAATCTTGTTTCTTTTGTCATGTCGAGCAGGCTAGGCAGGCTTCGGGGGAACTGGGGATTGGTTCGGTGTTGTGGATTTTGTTTAAGGTCCTTGGACTGGTTGATGAATTCGGTATTCAGAAAACAATGAAATGGATTGGTTTAAACATCACATAATTATTCGTTCATTCTCGCGTGTGAAAGTGAAAGTGAAATTCGCAAAGTGAAGTGTGCTTGGTGATTAGTGAGCTACTAATTAGTGCGCCCCCTCCGGGGATAACCCGGAGGTTGGTTGGCTGGTTGGTCTTGGTCTTGCTTGGGGGTGGCGGTGGAGGAGGTGGTGGAGGCGGTGGAAGTAGTGGGGTGCCAAGATGGTCGCGTGCGCCAATCAGTGACAGGGGTGTGTGGTGGGGTGGGTGGGTGCTGATACGCGGTGGTGGGGGTTTGGAAACTGGGAAGATAGAGATAGAGCTTGGAACTGGAGACTGGAAACTGGAAATGGACGCCGCGGAGCTGTTGCTGGTCGGGGTGCGTTTGGAGGTGGGGGTTCGAAAAAGATAGGAGAATCAGGATTTGGGTTTTGAGTGATAGCGAGCTGGAGATGGTGTCCTTGGAACTCCTCGCGCAATGAGACGAGACGAAAGAGTCCTGGGTCCTCGACGGCTGGTCCATCTCGACTCTACCACGTCCACTCCAGCTGGCCATACCAGGACTTGAGGGCGAGGTCTTTGGTTGCTAGCTCTATCTTCATGATAGCTGTTCGTAGCCCGTATCAACATCGATACTTGCTGCGAGGTACTGGCTTCAAAGATAGGACTGACATCTGGATCTACCGAACCGGTGTTGAGAAGGTGGTCCGTCTGGGGCTGTGCTCTCTTCTCGCCGCGCCTTTTGTCCGTGGATACTGGGTTTTGCGTAGGTGATGGGTGGTTGATGTTCGACGGACATTCGACGTTCAACGATCAACGTTGGGCCGGCGGGTCGTTCACGGTTAGAAATGCTCCCAGATGGAACACTCCTCGATAGAACACTTCAAGATAGAACACTCCCAGACGGGTCATTCCCAGACGGAATGATTAATGGCGGTTTGGGTATGTGCTATGGCGCCGGTTTTTAGAGGTAGGGGAGATTGGGTTTGAGATGTAGGTGTAGGTATAAGTTGGGTAAGGATGCTTGCACATGAGTAGGTTGCTGCTACTGGAGAGAGTTGAGTTAGAAACAGTGTTTCTCCGAATAGTTGTGCTGGTACTCTTGTGAAGAAGGATTGTCTCTACCTCAACTAATCCTATCTTACGCTGCATCCATCACACCTTTACGTTGAACCCTTCTTTTAACTAAGCTGACCATAACACAACAGTGAAGGTTGGCTACATGTATTGTCGTTAACTCATTCAAAGTACAGGTTTGTCATTAGAGAATGCAGTAAAGTTGGAATGAACAGTAGCGGCCGTACAATTTTTGAGTTTAGAAAATTCATACGATACCGACGTCAAGCTTCGGCAACTACTAATTCTACAAGAGAACAATACTATGGGACAGCTAATTATCCGTCGCCATAGTCAGCTGCAACATCGTAGATACAATACCTGAACGACTTACCTTTTCTATGAAGGTGTCAAAATATGCCGAGGGGGGGCACATCCACCCATCGAATATAAGATCACGATGGCTCTAACGCAATCTAGACGTGATTTCAGAATCGGATGATGGTATCGATATAGAACATAAATCCATCCATAGTATAACAGGCCTGGGACCGCTAGTTTATATGTCCGTCTTCTGCGCGTTTAGAAAACCAAAACCAAAACCTCGAGCAGCAATGTCTATACAGTCAGCTCGAGATATGCCCTCCAGCACCGTCTCACACCGAAAGATGCGCCCGCAATTAAGCATCCAAATCCCGCCGCCGCCGCCGCCGCCGCGTCTGCAGAAACCTATGCCCCCGATTCCGGCGTCACAGACTATCCGAATAGTTCCCCCTACCAGGGCCAATAACAAGGAGCCCCACTGCAAGGATACTAAGAATAACAATGCCCCTAAAAACCCCAGGGACATCATTGATATCAACAATCTCAGTAGCAATGAACGTATCAAGGCTGCGCTTGAGCCCCTACTCGCGCGGTGGAGCACGAACCTCAGCTTCCGCGAAGTCACGGCGATTGCGCGCCTCCCTGCAGAGGAGGCGGGGGCTATCTTCGTCGTGCAGCTTATCGACTCGCTTGAGGCCGAGAAACGGAGACGGCGGGCTGCGGAGAGTTGTGTTAAGATGCTGGAGGAGACGCATACGGAGCTCCTCCGGAAGAAGAAGGAGGTATATGAGGAGACGCAGGGGCTACTGAGAAAGAGGTCGATGGAGATGAGGGAGGAGGAGGAGTGGGTTTGCATAAGGGAGAGGGAGCTGAGAGGCGAGAATGCGGTGTTGAAGGAGAGGGTTAGGCGTTTGGAGATTGACTTGTGGAATGCGAGGAAGAGGGATGGGTCGATGATTTAGCTAGACGGTTGGGTATATATTTATTGATGTAGCTGGCTGAGATATGCGGGCTACTAATTATGCTCAACAGTTTGCAATTGGTGTTCTAGATGTGTTGTTTTTGATGTATGGACACAATCTCAGGAGTTTTCCTAACACGAAACTGTTACTTAGCATACTATACTCGCGCGTTAATTAAGTCTTGAGAAATTTTGTGAGGTCGTGCTACTAAGAATTCTCAGGGCTTAATTAATACGTGATTAGATACATGTATTTATATGTTATTAACACATTTTATCGTGAATGTTTCTCATCGAGTGATATCCGGTGATGTAACTTGTATCCTACGTAACCACCAGTGGCAACGCATATATTCAGCTTTCTCCTTCTAAAAAGATAGTGGATCGTCCTCTTGAGATACTAAAGATGATTTCTAGATCGTGAATGGGATATCCAGCTCGAAGTCTCAGGGGAGATACTTATTCGGCCTATGTATAAGGATATTTCTCCGGGTTCCGGCAGAGATTATTTTGGCCAAATTAGTCATCTATTATCAGGATAAAAATCCTATAATTATAGGGATATTTCTGGATATGAAACTATCCCCTTTTCATACCCTTATAGCGGGACTGTACTATAGTACGAAGCCTGATAAGTAGAATTGTCTCAAAGGGCTACTATTGGAAAGGCATGTTACGCTCTAGATCAGGCAACTATCATACCTATAGGTTGCTCTGAGATGATAAATATAGCGAGGAGCGAGCTATATGCTCGCTAGAGAGTTGAGCATATCCCTAATCTGGGAAATGGCCACCTGTTTAACTGTAATTGGCGAAATAGGAAAACATAGGAATCTATATGAGAATGGTTGAATGCGGTGGTTGGAAGGTGGGGTTAGATAAAGTCAATAACGGAGCATAACCTGTGCAGGGTGAGTAATTTACGGCGGGTGGCAGCGAAAGTGGCGCAAAATAACACAGCTCGTTATGATCCAAAAAATAAAGTCTACTCGACCTCAGAGAGCATAAAGACACCAAGCAAAGCCAGTAATAAGGGTCAATTCCCAGCCCCACCACTCGCCCCTTCCTCGTATAGAGAAATCAAAAACCAAAAAGCCTTTTAATTTATTTCACTACAAAAAAAAAGAACAAAGGTTGTACAAAAGGCACTGCAGCGACTTATTTATTAATGTGCGCTACTACCCCCCCGGGTAAACGCTCGGTGTCTAACCCGACGAGCAGTCTAACCACTAGACCACTCGCCCATGGTAGGTGCTGAGCTGGAAGTGATACTTGACCTTGGCGGTGTGCCAAGATGAAGCAGAACCCCTAACCCTTCGATATCAATGCTCAGCCATCCATAGCTCGATCATATTTTTTTCATTTCGGATCATAGCCATGTGTTATTGTAGAGCACGTCTACCGAAAACTATGCCATGTCAGACTTTTTCCGTAAATAGAAAGTTAATTAATCGAGAAAGAATAATCCCTTTTAACTTCTTCTTTACTAGTTACTACTACGCAGTAAGGAGGCTTGGCCGACCACATCCCTTCGTTCGTTGTAGCAAAAACGGAGACATATTAGGCCCACGACGGTGTGGTGATATTCAGGAAACATAGCTACCTATAGACTATGGAGACACCGAAATAGGTATAGGAGGGGTCACAAAAGGTGATTTCACAGCAAAAGAGGTTCACAGAGCGAGGGTTAGGTTTACTACTGAGTAAAAGTTGCCCTCTAGCGCCCGGTCGTGAAAATACACGAAGGGATGTACTTGAGAGCATTATTATTGTCTAATTCTACAATTCCAATGCTTGTAATAGAATATCTAGTGGCCTTCTTTATTAACGGTTGCGAAGAGCGCAAGTCAAGCTGCATATATGTAGAGGTTATGATACCGAGTGATATTTCATGCACCCAAATTAGCTTTCACCAGTCATCACTCGATCAACACATGACCCTTAACATCCTCACCACCAACGTCCCATTAGCTTACGTCTTGACCATCCATCCTCATCAGTCCAACGTCGACTCCCAGCCACAATGTCTTCCCCACCAATCCAACCCACTTCTCCCAAACAAACGATCTACGAAATCCCCTCCACCGCCCCCCGCCTCTCCCTCCGCAAATGCATCGACAAGATTGCCAACTTCCTCAAAGTTCATGATATTTGCTGGGCCGGAATCGAGCTCGAACCAACCACCGCCAACGGCCAACTAAGCCCCGGGACCGGACCATCTGCCCCAGCGGGGAAGGTTCTCAGGGTCTATGCCTACGATTCTGAGGATCCGGTGGCGGTGAGCTACTTGTTCCAACAAAGCGGCTTCGTGAAGGAGCAGCTACCCGAGGGTATTGAGGTGGTTGAGTTTGTAGGGTTGAGTACTGTAAGGGATTCCAAGGAGAAGCGGGCTGGATAGGAAGCGGCCCTCATGGCAAGATTCTATGTGATTTGGATTATGGTGTTCAATTGAGTCATGATTATACTCTTTGAGAGTGCGTTTGTACGCGAGTTGACAGATCAAACTAAAATGACTGTCTTTCTTGAAGGTACCAGCCAGCAAACAATTGATACCTTCAAAACCCCTCTCACTCAAGGTTTTTTGCCGAAATTCGGATAAGTACGAGCCCATATGGTACTATTCCATAGAAATAGAACGCTATTCGACTTATGTCTCACTGAAGGTACTTGTTGGATAAGTTTCTTATATTATCACTTTCGCCCATCTTGATCATGACTGTGAGTGATATTATATGATTGAGATTTTACTTACCAGCCTACACTAGTAGATAGTTACCACATTGGGAGTTTCACAGTCCGAGAGAGACTGGGATTCCGAGTTATCAGCCGGACCCAGACCTGGCTCCAGTCCTCATGACACATTATGGACAACGATCACATTATCATGTTTGGGTACTTAATGGTGACTTTCTCTCCATACCACATTAACTGGAGAGTGAATTTCCGATAAGACGTCTAAACAAAGTGTGGCGGGAATAATCCATTGAGAGCCGATTCTTTTTGCCACTCGCTACACTAAGGAAAATATTTTTCTCTCCTAATTTGAGGGCAGAACCAAATTAAACAAATTAAGCGCCTCGCCACTTCTTATTTCAACCTCTCAACAATTCTCGGACTCCCAGCTGATGCGGGACAAATTAGATTAAACACCGGTGGAGAGGTTGTTGCTCAACACCGCATACCTTCCGGCCACACTCACATGAGCGCGGAGTCCAAAGCACCTTAGCAGGCAAGCTTAAGATCGATTATTTACTGGAATAGATCTGATCACCACGTAGAGTACTTGCACAGCTACTATGAGCTGCAAAGAAAGATATGAAAGCTTGAACCGGAAATCATGAATAACCCCAGAGTTATTAGAAGCTCCGCGCGGGAATCATGTCGACAGACTCCACAAATAAACCCGACAAATTGCAGCTCAGTGTCACCAACCAAAACACGCCTTTTTGCATTTGGGTAATTGTTGTACCATGGAGCGAACCTAACTTCATTAATTTTGTCGTTATTAGATGGTATCAGGCGCAGTCTTAGCATTGCCCACCTATTGCCTTGCCTACTACTACTTCTACACAAGGCCAGGCGGTGGTAGTTCAGTGATGTATGTAGGTATGTGTACTACTTGTCTTTTATGATTAGTAGCTCAGTAATTTTCCTTTCTTTTTTCCCTTTCCTTTTTCTCCCGTTCCTCCACTTTTCTTTCTGCTTGGCCTACCTAGCTATTATATTATTTTCCTTTCAGGCTCTTGCGGCATCTCACTCAATAAGTATCCATGTCTGATTCGAGACCAGGTTTTTTTTTCTTTCGTCTCTAGCACTTTGCTCCTGTGTCCCCGTCCGTCATGAAATAATGTGGGGAGACGTACGTCCATGCAGCTTCATGTCAACCTACATACGTCTCTCCAACTCAAATTATATTGCACTGCGTTGCGGGATATGATATGATATGATATGATACATTTATCCAGCTGGCCGCCGCCATACCATCCACAGCTTAGCTGGGAGAGTAGAGTATGGGGATGGATGGTGGGAAGGACCCTTGGTTCCGCAAAGCCGGCACCGCACACCGCACATCACAAAAGAAAAGAAAAGAAGAAACAAATCATTCACTACATATTTATTATTGTCATTTTTGTGGAGTTGAATTATATTTCTGTTTGTTTGGTTTCGTGCAACGCCCGTATGTACTCCATCTCCGGCTCTTTTTTTCGGTATGGTATTTATGTGTGTTGCTGCTGATACTTTATGTTCGCGACACCTGAAACACAAAACGTGAGCGATGCGCGATTATCATAATTAAGCCCTCTCTCTCTCTCTCTCCCTTCCTTCACCCCCCGGCACCCCCGGGAAATGGTGATCGTTACGTTAAACTAGGTCCGTGCTAAAAAATGGCACAGAGTACTTTTTTCACAAACAAGAAAAAAAAACTGACAATCCCTCCCCAAAAAAAACGCAAACCTATTTTTTGATAGAGTGCCTGGGGTTGTGGTGGTGGTTGTGGTGCAGGGGTACGGTACAGATTTCAAAAAGGGGACGGGGGGGGGGTGGAGGATGTGGGTAGGTAGAGTCACCCATCATCAGCATCATCATCTTCGATGGTTCCCTCAAAGTTTCGATGGATCGATGGTCGATGGTGCACAGCTTTTCTCTCGCTCTCTGCCCCTTCCAAAACAACCAAAGCAAAAAAAAAAAAGAATAATTCAAGATAAGCAGCCTGTCAGTACCACCTCACAGCTGTCAGTTGAGACAAAAAAGCCAGATGTTTCAGTCCCGTCCTGAATTCCTGATAAACGGAAGATTGTCTGATAGGACAGGATAGGGATAGGGGGGAGGGAGGGAGCCGGGGGCAGGGGGGGGAGTAGTAGACTACAGGACCGAAGCTGCCGATATTAATCCGATCCCCGCCGTTCTCTATGTCCGAGGCAGTAGGACAGAATTGCAAGCTGGACTGGGCTGTTACGTATGGGTACATGAGCGCTCACTCACTCACCTCAACTCACTTGAGCGTTTTAGAGTACTCAGATGGATGGATGTGCACACCTGCCTATTTGGGGAGTTGGCCTCATGGCGAAAGGGAGAAACCACGTTTCAGGAAGAAAAAAATGTCTAGATGGCTATTATTGAAAGCCTTGTTAGTCAATGTCAAACGGCGACGGCAGCGGCGACGGAAAAACTTGTTTAACAGCTACAGCTGCAGATACATCTAGATCTACTCTACTCGGGAGGTTTAACTGTTTGGGTACAGATAGCGCAACAACAACGACTACACCTTATCCCAATAGTTAAAGGAGTAGGTACATAGAGTATCTACAGTCATACGTAGGGTACCAGCAGCTTCTTCTTCGACCGGTACAGAACGTCAAGTACCAAATTGAAGACTTCGGATCGGACCCGGACCCGGCGCCGGACCCTCTGAGCAGAAGATAAGAATATGGGCTGCTGCCCGCGCCAGGTCCATGGCCATCAGATCATCAGATCAGCCAGCTGTTTGTAGGTAATCTAGTACGAGTCTATTACTATGTATAGCAGAGGTAGAGTACTTCTACTGTAGATGCTTCTAGAGTAGAGTAATATCTATCTCTCTATCTATCGGTATCTCTATCTATCTATCATACCCAGATAAAGTACATACCTAGGACACAGCGTCCCTCTTCCCCTGCCGAGATTGATTCCAGGACCAACCATCCTCCCTGGCCTACCAATTGCCCACGCGCGGTGTCTTCTGTAACTCTGCCTACATCACACGCAGAGTACGTAGAGTTATGTATCCCATGTAATGTATCTATGTGCTGTTTGAGTCCCTCCTACAGTAGGTACAGCTCTACACAGGTACAAAGAAAAGAAAAGAAAAGACGGAACGTTCCGCGCGGTGTGTATGTGTACCTGATTCGCGCACCCTGGTCACCAGCGATCCTTGCTGGCCACGGTTGGTTGGTTGGAACCGTAGTTGCAATGAGTAGAAGAAGTACAGTCAGTCAGTCAGTCAGTCAGTAGGGTGGCATATATGCACACCTATAGAGGAGTAGTTGGTAATATTGCCTTACCATACCCTACCCTACTCTGCGGCAGATATATGGCTATGGCCTGAACGTATGGAGAGCGAGAGAGTGAGAGAAGGATTATGCAAACCGTGTTTTATCGCACGCCTTATGCATGCTAGTCGCAGCCTTCTTACCTACACCCCCGTCTGTACTCTACGAGAATTTATATCAGCGACCCCAGTAGGTACCTATGTATACTCTATATCCATGGCCGAGTGAATATCTACTCTGCCTATCACTCGCGCGGGAACGGAATGCAGGGCATGGCGAGCGAGGGCATAACAGCAAACATATCGCCCGAGTCGAGTCCAAACACCCTCCTACAGCTTCATGGCTAGGGTAAGGTGTCATTAATACATACATAGAGCAGAATATAAGGATTAATAGTTACTCCGCTACTATACCATACCATATCTTTTTAATTACGGCCCGCACACCCCCAATCCACCGGCATAGCATCACATAGCATAGCATCGCATAGCATAGCATTAGGGGGTGTTTTGATAAAGTATCTTACTCTACCTTGGTTGGGCGCCTCCATGGTGTAAAAAAAAAGCTGTAAGTGTATCCGATACCGCGGTTGGGTGGTGATGATCCGCCCGCACTGCCGTCATATTGGATAATTACTTGTACCGACATATCTCTATCGCCCCCGTTGACAGATGCAAAGTGGAGGCTAGAGAGAGGGGGGGTCAGGGTTCTGGTTGTATGTGGGTAGGGCGTTCCCGGAGCCTTGCGGAGGATTTCGGGGGTTGGGTAGGGTAGGGTAGGGCGTGAGTGATAGAGGGTGAGGTGAGTGATACGGGGTGAAGAAGGGTCCAGGAGGGCTAGATACACTAGAGCTAGCTACGGTGCTGTACTCTGCGTGCTGCGGCCTACGCGCGGGCCGGGAGCGGGAATCGTATCTTGAGATTTGAGGTTTTTCGCGATTTAAATTTATATATATCTATGTAGATCCGGTCGGACCCTCCTCCCACTCTCCTCCCACTCTCCCACTCTCCCACTCTCGCTATCTTAAATTTCGCGGGTCGTGAAATCGAATCGTGAAATCGTGATCCAGCAGCGGCAGCTGGCTGTGTTTTAAAACCGCAAAAACAGAAAAAAGAAAGGGTTTTAGAAATGGCCGGGGTCGCGTATCGATATCGCTATCGGTTCCGTTATTTCACCCTCAGCCAGAATGCTGTCAACAGTACTGGCATGTAACGGTTGTTTGTTTTTCTGTTTGTTTCTCCCGCAATTGTTTACTCAAGTGCAGTGCGGTGCAGTGCAAACCCCCCCCCCCCCCCCCCCCCCCCTTAACCCCTGGCACCGATCTGAAGAATTAAAGAGCGGATTAACTGCGTTGCTGCGGGCTTTTATCGCTGTTGTTGCTGTGTCGATGTTTCCATCCTTAGCAACACAACCCCCTCCCTCCCCTCCCTTCTCCTCCCCCCGGCCGCCCGTCGATCCCATCCCATCATCATCCATCCCTCCCCATCCATCCCGGTGCGCGGCGGGAGGGGGCGATCGCACACGCAAAAAAAGAAGGGTCCCTCCCTCCCGGGAGTTTCCAGAAAAAAATGACGCGAGAGCGTGGGCTAAAAAACATCATCATCGGAGATCAAACATTCCACTCCGCACATCCACCAACGACGATCATGTTCAGTTGAAACGGAAGGGGGGCGGACCCACATCAACGATTTTTTTTTGAGGACGCGGAAAAACTTTTAGGATGGATGGATGGCGGGAAAGAGGTTAATTGGAAAGGGGAGACCAGAAAGTTGCTCAAACGGAACGCACTTGGACTTTGCATGGACTTTGGACTGAGCGCATGCTCATGTTCCTCACTCGCTCGTTGTGAGGCTTGAGGGCTTTGTTAACGTTGCCAAGGCTTCCGGAATGTTAACAGCCAGACCCAACGGAACCTGAGCCTCCATCTCCTCCCTCGTATGTAGACCTCCCTTACACTTCCAGACCTCATCAGTATCACCATGGCCACCTCTCGGAACGTACCAGCGGTGACCCTCTAAAAAAAAGTAAACAAAGAAAGACCCTCTCTTCCGCAAAATCAATATCCCGCCCCGAAATCTAGATCCCCTCCCTACCTCCTTCCTCTCGCACACACTCTCACTCTGGTTTCTCCACACTTCGGTGGTGGAGTAACCGAAAATACATTTTTTCTTTCTTTTTTGCCTTTTTTTTTTTCTTTTCCTTTTGAGTGGATGGATGGGTGCGAGGGTGGGCCATGGGAGGGAGACCATGGAAGAAGGCTAACCAAACTGACCCTCGACAATTGTGGAGATGGATGCAATGCAAGGGCTGCTCGTGCTGCTTGCTTGGTGCAACGATAGAGGAGAGCAGTCTAGCTGCTTGGGGACATGACATGCTCTATTCTTGTGCGACGACCCTGGGTTGGTAAGAAGGGTAGAGTAGGGTGCTGTAGGTACTCTACCGAACTGTAAACCCCATCTCAGCCTACAATTCATATCCGACGATAGACGCTCAAGACCTATACATACTCAAAAGAGAGGGTGAAGGTGAAAGAAAATAAAGTTCATTTTTTTATTTTCCACCACTAGGGTACGTGCGTGTATGTACTCCGCTTTCTGCATTTCTTTTCTAGCTGCAGTCAGCGCGCAGCGCAAATATGGAATTCAATGTATTGTCTTTTTGGCGCCGGTAGATATTTTGCATTTATTCTTTTGCGTTTTCTGGAGCCGTACTCCAGAAACGCAACGTAAACAGATGCGCATATCATTATGCCATGCCATGCCATGCTTCCTCCCGGCCCGGCGCCGGCGGCCTTATTTCTACTCTTTCTCCAGGCCATAGATACTCAGATGCTCTGGGGTGCTTTACACAAGGACATCTCTCACCTCACATTCCTACCTAGAGTAGAGTACCTGTACCCCAAATTGCAGAGTCTGTACGTACGTTACGGCAGATTCTCGGTAGTGTAGATATAGAGTGGAGTATCGTGAACGGAGAATCCGGAGATTCGCGAATCAAAAGCAACACAGTGCCCAAAATATGGTGCTGCCAAGCTGGCAATAAGAGCCGAGTTTTTGAAAGAGAAGGAGGAGGAGGAGGCGTTTAACATACTCACCGCAGCGCAGTTCACGATGATTATGGTATTTATGGTTTTGATGTACATATATATTACCATGGCCTGGTATGGTATCGTGTACCACATTGCAATGGCCCAATTGCAACCGGCCAGTAGGAGTGTAGGAGATGTGGCGGCGGGCGTGGTCGAATCTAGAATTCGAATTGGGGTAGATATGATGACAATTGTGAGGGAGGTGAGTGAGCGATCATGAGTAGACAGAGAGGGCACCATAAATAACACCTAAAGTAAGGATTATTCCATCGCTATCTGGCTTTTGCAACAAAGAAGGAGGAGGAGGTCGAGGGATTTCGTGAGTGTCAATGACAGATTAAGGCGCCGGTCGTGGGTCAATTGCGTTGTGTGGTGGTAGTGGGTGGTGTGTGGGGAACACACCCACCACCACCACAACACTCACAAAACCCACACCTAGACAAAAACTCACGATACCTCCCTCACCCACTCCCTCTACCTCTAGCCTAACCAGCCAGTCCAGCCAGCCAGCTGTCGGTATGAAACCAAAAGCGGTGAGTGGCATAGATTGATTTCAAAGAATTAGGGGGGGCGTAGGCGTAGCCTCTAGCTGTGCGAACACTCAAATCCCGACTTCACCCTCGGTGAATATGTTCAACACATTAATTTGTGTGCATCACTTTTTTTTCTCCTCCTTATCCCCGAACGAACAACAACACACCAAAAAAAAAACATCGTGAGATTTGCTTTTTCTTAGTCCACCCCCTCATATGGGCCACCAAATATGGAACCAAATATGGGGCCGCGAAACTGTACTCGCATATCCCCCCTCCCTTTCCTTTGGCCTTCACACCCCCGCCGCGAATTGCCACGCATGAGCTCCAGAGAGAGAAAGGGCATGGCATGGGGGTTTCTACTTACTCTAGAGTGATCTAGAGTCTAGAGTAGAAGTAGTCTACATGTACCTACCTACTGCGTTCGTATTATAGAGTACTTCTAGGCAACATGTCGACGGAGAGATAATGGATACGTGACCTACCACGTCCCCCCCCATGTTCATGGTTCGTTATACTTTTTAAATGGTTTCAGCGCACGGTATTGTGGTGGGCGGTTCGGCCGGCCGTGACCGTACGTTACTGTACGTGACGAAGAAAGGACAGCAATTGCGCTGGCTGGGCTGGTGGTCGAACTGCCGAACAAAGACAGTTCAATTGATTGATTCATGATCAACTCGGGGGTGGCCGCGCCGGGGTTGGGGGAAAGGGAAAAAGGGAAGTGGAAGGGATGGGATATTGGGAGGGGGGCACGAGAGAGGCCATTCTGGGATATTCGTAATTGCCTGTTGCCTTGGTCATTCACCGCCAACGGTTATCGTGAAAAAAAGTAAAGCAAGGTTCACGGAAAAAAAGGCGGCGGGTTTCTTTTCTTTTGGTTTGGTTTTGGAGGGGGGGGAGAGGAGCTAAGCGAAAAACACATACTCGCCCACACCCACTCGCACTCACACACACGCGCTCAGACAGTGGAGAGGTAGACCAGAGAGCAGGTATGGCGGAGTAGAGTAGACTCGTAGAGGAAGAGAGTAAATGAGAAAAAGAATGTCCGTTTCTACTCTACTGCTGCGCTGCAACTTGCAATAAGTGGTCCGATCCCTGCAGCTTGCGGCTGGAGTAGAGTGAGAGCGAGTGAAGGCAAAAGGAATTATTATTTGAGAAACAGGGCAAGGCAAGGATTGGGATTGGTTGAGAGTAGAGTACCCCGTAGAGTACTGCTACTCTACAGTAGAACTGTAGGGGGGGAACCAGACAATTGCGCATAACTGGCGAGCAAGACCTTGAATTCTCTCGGCATGAGTTTCGCGGCGGGGGGTTTCTGGTTGTGCTTTAATGCCTCCGAACCGAGACAGCTACATTCCTCCAGAAACGCCCGCCGCCGCCCCGCTGTTCTGTTCTTGCTTTTGCTCTGCTTATCCAAGAAACAGAAGCAGAAGAAGCACAAGTACATGTAGGTAGAGTAACGTTATGTACGACTCTAGATCTTTCAAGCTTGAGTGATATGCCAGCCGCCAAAACCGAGCCTCAATCGCCGAGGCGTCGCTTATAGCGGGTCGGTCTCCGAGCGGTTTTTGTTGCTTGCGTGCTGTGCGGCAACTACGCCGGCAAGCAGCTCTACAGCAAAGCTTCCATTCCGAGGAAACGGAGCGTCGAGCACCGTAAATCATAAAACCTAGTAAAATGAGCGGCACTCGGGTCTACCGCTTCCATCATAGCTAGGAGGAGGTAGAGTAATAACATGCCTACAGGTACAGGTACTCTGCCTACTCTACATGTACCTACCCAGACCTTTGCCCATCGGTGGTAGGTAGAGTAGGTAGGTAGAGTAGAGTAGTAGGTTGTAGGCCGGCCATGTATGTAGGTGGGCAACTCCATCGCTCTTGAAGGGGATCTGCGAGGGAGCTTTTTTACTTGCCTGTTGGACCAATGATGGGCGGGCATCAATTGCCAAAGGAGGACTAGAGTGGTTCCGACGAGTTATTTCGCGCATACAGCAGTGGGCAGGGGAGAGGGGGTTGTTAATGTGCAGATATCTTGGCTTGCGTGGGTGGTGTGCCCCAAACGATTTGATCGGGATTTCGCCCCCAGCGTTTCGAACCTCTTTTGCGCGCAGCAAGGAAAAGAGAGAGTGAAGGAGTGAGAGAGTTGGATTGAGAGGTGGAGGAGAGATGAGAGAGATAGAGAGATAGATAGAGACACACACACCCACTAGATATGATGCCACACACACACGCAGCACGCACGCAACGATTGAGAGGAAGGAGAGACATCGCTGACGAATGCTGAAAACGGTTGGGGAAGGGAAAAGACGCTCAACACCTCAAAGCTCACGATAATTTTTGGGAGGGGGTTGCTATCTGCGGAGAAGTACTTACTGCAAGCAAAGCAGTCTTTTGTGAAATATCTCTCTGCCGCCCGCGGGAACATAATAATATTTCCTTTGAACTAATTTTTTTCTTGTTTCACGGCTACCTTGACCTTCTTCGATCCTTCCTTCCAGAGTGAATTAAGAAGACTCGAGGCTACGTAGTTTTTCTCTTTTCTTGTTGCCACTCCACTCACACCGCTGAGGGCTTAACTTCTGAACTTATTAAGGTATCGTCGCCATCTTAATTATAACAATACCAATAGTGAGCTTTCAGTAGTTTGCTGTTGTTGTTTGTGCCTTTCTTCAACTGTATGTACTCACCCTACGGCTCTGTATTTCTATCTCTTTCTGTCTACCGAAATTGTTCACAACTGGCTGAGAGTTAATCTTGCTGTTTCTTTCTCAGTTACTTTAACTACTCATAACTTGCTTGTTCACTTTCTACCCTAGCCCGCAGATACTCCAGAAAAGAAGAACCTCTCCCCTTTGTATACATACGTCTCCACTCCCTGTATCTCTTGTTCGGGGGAAGAAGGAGAAGGGGCCCACCCCATCCACTAGCACGGCGGCTTTCCGCTTCCACTTCCACATTTTCACACATTTCAAGTCGAACACCAACGCCCGACTGACCAAAAACTCGCTTCCACAATCATCGTGAGAGTGTCTCACCCGCCACCACTCTCCTCCGCTTATTTGCCCACTCACCTACAGCTTAAACTCCGTTCCCTTTGTCTGCCCACATACTTTAACATACCTTACCTTACCTACCCACTCTATCCCGTCCTTTTCCTTGATTACCGAACTCCTCATCCTCCTGCTCTTCCTGTACAGACACACTCTTACACACACACTCACAGTACTCACACACACTCTCACACACTACTCACTCACATACATACTCATACTCTCACACCACATATTCCTCACTCACACATATTCCCTCCCACCCCCCTCAGCCCAACCTTACTACTACCATCACCACCACTCTACATACCTACTTCTCTACATCTACCTGCGTCCACTGTTCCACCGGTCGCACCAAAGCTCTGTCTCCCGTCTAGTCCGCCTCCACGGCTAACCAGCTAACCCCTCTTTCGCTTCCCCCAACCTCTATTCGTCTGATCTCTCCCCGTACACCTTCCGAATTCCATTGCCCCCCGGGAATAGAATAGAAAGGAAAAAGAAAAGAAAAGGAAACCCAGGACCCTTCTTGTAGCCCGTTCATCCCCAGGATGCCATTGACAAAAAGGGCATCACGATGAGTTCCCACATTAACAACCCCCATCATAATAACAACCATCCTCCTCTGCCTTCACAGCAGCAGCAGAATCACCATCAACAACAAAGCCATAACAACTCAACACAACCTTCATCCTCTAATACACATCATCCACAAACTGCTTCTCGGGCATGCCACGGTGAAGACAACTCGCCCTTGTATGGCACAATGGATAACTACAACTACTCAAATAACACATCCGCTGCAACATCTAGGCATACTTCTACAGCTTCTATCTGGTCACTACATAATCACATCACAGGTCACAGCCGGAATCCTACCCCCCCGACACCTGTCTCATCACCGAGTTTATACACACCGCCTCCTCCGGAGAACCCGCGGAAATATGAAAATGGCCCGCATCTACACCCTATCCAGTCCCAATACCGGCAGCAGACGACAGAATATGCACCAGCTGTCAAGGAAACACATGTGCTTGGACTTGACTTCGACCCGGTCTCCGGACGCAAGATTATTAATCACTACACGATAATAGATGAGATTGGCCGTGGAGTGCACGGCAAGGTTAAGCTTGGGACAGACATCGAAACTGGCGAGCTGGTAGCGATCAAGATCGTCGAGCGGATGCAGGGGCGTCCTCGGCTTGGCCGTCGTGGTGATGGGGAATCAGAGAAGAAAGTCCGGAGGGAAATTGCAATCTTGAAGAAATGTCGCCATGAGAATGTCGTTCGGCTCCTTGAAGTTATTGACGACCCGCAAAGCAAGAAGGTTTACCTTATTTTGGAGTACGTTCAGCTGGGCGAGATCATTTGGAGAAAGGAAGGAGATCCGGATGTTCTGAGTAGGGAACGCCGGCGGTTGCGTAGGGAATTCGCAGACACTAGGAAGTCAAGGGAGTTGGCCCAAAGAGGCGAGATGGCAGCGATTGACATTTCCAAGAAAAAGAAGCGCAGGAGAAGGAAGACAGGGCAATTCTGGTCGTTGGAGTTTGCTTCCCCCTCGGGGGATTCTGAAGAGTCCGAACAGAATTCCCCTCCCCCGATGCTACCGAAACTCCCGCCTACCTCTTCGGCCGATTTACCTCCTTTGGATTCGGAAACCGAGCAACTACCCCCTTCTGTGACCGGCTACTCCTCCGACAGTGACTCCGACAGGGATAGTGCAGATGACCAGCGTTACATTCCCGCATTGACAATCGAGCAATCTCGTAGTACATTTCGCGACACTGTACTTGGTCTTGAGTATCTGCATTACCATGGTATCATTCATCGTGATATCAAACCGGCCAACCTTCTATGGACTAAAGATCATCGTGTCAAGATTTCCGACTTTGGTGTAAGCTTCCTTGGAAGACCAATTAGGGATGATGACGATGGCGAAAGTACCGGCGCGGATGAAGAGCCTACAGGTTTGGAACAGAACGATATCGAGCTTGCCAAAACTGCTGGGACCCCGGCATTCTTCGCTCCGGAGTTGTGCCATATTGGTGCGTATAACCTTTTTTCTTGATTTGGAGTTTTTCTTTCTCTTTTTCCTTTCCAGGCAGCTATTTCTTAATTTGCAGCATCTCCTAGCTGCACGGATGGTCTTGTTATTTTCGAGTCTTATTTTACAGATATCGTCTTTTTACCTTTCTTCAGGGGTCTAACTTTGATTACTTACAGATCCCACGGGGCCACGCCCTCAAATCACAAGCGCTATTGACGTGTGGGCTCTCGGCGTCACTTTGTACTGTCTACTGTTTGCCCGCTGTCCATTTATGGCGGACAACGAGTTTCAGTTGTTAAAAGTTATCGCCAAGGAGGAATTAATGATCCCTAATCGCCGTATTCGGCCCGAGAAATTAAAACGCTCTGGAGCCCAATCATCCGCACCGTCCGCCGAAGAGCTTCTTGAGATGGAGACTGAGCCGGTTGATGAGGATTTGAAGGATTTGTTGAAACGTCTTCTCATCAAAGACCCAGCAAAGCGAATTACCTTGAAAGAGGTTAAGCGACATCCCTGGGTTCTTCATGGAATCACTGACCCCTGCGCATGGGTGGATGACACCGATCCAGAGAGGATCTCTGATGGAAACAGAATTGAGGTCACTGTTGAGGATGTCGAAAAGGCCGTGTCCAGTGCCGGTGTTCTTCACCGTGCTCGCAGTGCCATGAAAAGAGCTGGGGCATGGTACAGGGGGCTTCGCAAAAGGGCTAGCAGCACAGCCGATGCGGCTTCAACCACCTCTTTCAAGGATTCGAAGGACAAAAGGCCTGAGCGTAAATGGGACCCGGAAGATGCTCAGCAACACCTGCAAGGTTATTATGCATGGAAGGATGACGAGGAAAAGGAACTGCAATGGATGGGTGGCGCTCCGACATGGAATGAGGAGCGTCGTCCATCAATGACAACTTTTGGAAGCACTGCATCTACTGATACCGTTCAGCCGCCGGTTAGTCATGACAACAGCTCCAAAGATACACCAAACCCTAATGCGAGAACTAGCCCCGGGTATGAGGGACGCAAGCTACGGCGAAGACCATCTATCAACCTTCTCGCTACGCCTAGACGTCATGCGCATAGTGAGTCGGGATCTGGTCATCGTTCACCAAGTACAAGTTCAACTTCTCGGTTTAGTGATATCAAGGGTGAAAGTGCACCAGCTATTGCGTCGCCACAGCACGGAAGTGGGGGACTCTTTAGGGACGTGAAAAGGATTGTGGGCAGGATGAGAAGTGGTGGATTATCTTCTGAGAATGGAGATAGAATGAAGGATCCCATTAGCAGGGAAGGGAGCCCGTTGAGGGCTAGAGATGCACTTGCTGGACATTTGCGTGGCGATCATTCTTTCTATGCATATGCACATCATTCGTTGCAAGTGCAGATTCCTCAATATAGACGGCACTCATATACTTGCGAGCAAATCGAAGCCACAGTTCCACTAGACTCATCGCCTCGTTTTTCACCGGGAGGAAGCAGAATGAGCCGAGCAGAGGAAGTCAGACGTAAACTCAGTTCTTTAGCAGTAGATGATCAGCCTTGTCCTCCTAGCCCCGACGATAATGTTTCCATGGAGAGTATCTGGCGTCGGGACCAGCAGAAGCGGATGCTTCGAGTTGAAGAACGGGAAAGGTACTCGCAACCGAGCTCTGCCGTTGCACCTGGATGGACAAGAGAGAATTATTACTACTCAACCACGGATTCCCCAACACCACCTATTGCAATCGATGGTAAAGTCCGGAGCGGCTTTTTTGACGATAATGTGGCCCCATCGGTGCTACCGCACCATGGAAATCCCGATAACCATCTTGTGTCATCTTCCAGTGAGGAACAATTCGCAACAACTGCAGGTTCCAGTTTGACAAACTCGACTAGTTTCCCCTCAGTACCCAGTGTTCTTTCTGAATCCAGCTCCATCAGCAGTGATTACTACAGTCGATATTCCCGTAAAAATTCAATTGCCGGTCTAATGGAGGAAGAACCCATGAGCGAAAACGGCATATATGAATACCTACGCAGAGAGCGTCCAGGAACCCCTTATCGCGAAAACTTTAATAACTTCCCAAATTTCGATATTGATGAGGAGGCAGACGAAGCTGCTCATGAAGATGACGATGGTGGTGACGAGGGCGAGGAGAGTGACGGGGACGGGGGCTTTGTGATGCCGCCGCTTAAGGCCACCAAGCCACGTAGCGGAAGCGTCACCGTAGCTGAGCTTTCGCGGAAGCCCATTGACCGTCCCGCCGAGACTCCTCCACGTACCAGGAGGAGAAGCCGAAGCAGTAGTGGCACTGTGAAAGAGAAGAGCTCGAGAAGCGGTCAGCGAGGAAGGACCAAAGAGAAGACAGTGACCGAGTGATACGACAACATACATTTCTTTGATTTTAACATATACCGATATTTGCCTGATTCACGGGCTCGTTTTTTTTTTTTTGCTTTGCATTTGGGATTCTTTGCATCTTGGTACTATAAGGGTTTTCTTTTTATTTATTATTTTTCTGCTTTGGGGGGAAGGTGGGAAGGACTTTTTTTGTGTTATAACTGGGTATGTTTGGTGGCATTTTGTCTTATTTCTTTTTTCTCATGACGAAGGTTGATGCATTTTCATTTTTTATCTCTTCATGACAAGGACTGGATCTACTTGGACTTTCTTAGTGCATAATTCTTCTTTTCCCATCTGTCTCTGGGTGTTTTTTTTATTATGTTTGTTTTTACCTTTCATCTGGCCTATGGGTATAGGAGAAGCTTTGGTGTAGTAGGGTGCGTATGGGGTTTGTGAGGATTTGTATTTTGAATGATCATTCGCTGTAACTATTAATTTTTCCCTTCTTGTGTCATATTTTCTTTCATTTAGGGGTATATACTCGCGTGGAGTTTCTTTTTCTTGAAGGTCGAAGGAAGGGGGGGTTATTGAAAAGTGCGGGGAAGGGGGAACAAAGGTACCTTCGGCTCTTTCCAAAAAATCATGGTCCATTCTTTGCTGCATATGTCTCTGTCTGTTATGAGGAATGATTGGGATGATTAGCTTTGAATTTTGCTTTGATTGTTTTACTTGGCTAGATTTCTCACCTTCTCGAATTTCTGGGCTTTCTTCTCGAATCTCTTGGCTTTGCGGAATTTCTCTCGGGAGTATAAAATTGTGTGCTTTAATTTACCTATCTTTAGATTGGCTCTATTAATTCCATTCTTTTCTCCAGGGTTTGAAATATGCTTCATTAGGTTGGTTGGTTAAATGGGATTCGGACTGATCCCGGGATTTGACATGTCATCACAACTCATGTACTCTTACTCCAGTTACGTGGGAACTGGAATTGTGATGTCTTGGGAGGTATCAGAACCAAATAAAACTTGCTGTGCTGATAATTTTTTGTACCGAGACACCTATCCTAGCTAGGTTGTTCCAGTTCTAGGCAGCGTACAGGAGTACTGGCTGGTACTGTGCCATCTCTGCGAATTAAGTGGAGTGACGATGCGGCGATCAAAAGCAGCCACCCGCCGGGATGGCGTGGTAATGACAATCATACCATGTTTGGGGTGGCCTTCCCGATGCCTCCAGGATTAACTTTACAGTTCGAATATCGGCACTCCGTTACCGTACGAGTAATAACCTGTCCACTCAACACATCAACTCGCCGGCCGAAAATTAGAGTAAAGGAAACAATTACCGGATACGCAGAAAGGGGAAATCCTTAGCGAACCAGACAATGCTGCTTTATGACAGAACAGTCATCAATCCACACCCCCCGGCGATCCTTGATGCTGTACCTAGCGCAACTCATTGTTGATCCTGCGAGCGGGCGGATGGGATATGCCGAGTGAGTTGAAAGGAAACACCCCAACACCACCGTCATAATCCTGGAAGATGATTGCCGTTTTTATCGACGTTTCGAGACAACAAATTACTATTTGGACGGGTTAATGATTTGTTCTTCGGTTAGGATGTCCATTTCAAATATTTCCGCATATTCACCAAGACTTTGTCTTGTCTGCCTGCCTCGTAGAGTGTAGTCCCTCAATCATTGACCGGATACTCAACTCCGGTCAATTTCTAATAAACCTTCTTCTCACCCCGCTCGCCCGAGGGAGAAATGCTCATCAATGTGAAGTTCCTACAACATACGGTCATCCATAGGTCCTTAGTACCCACCACCACAAGCAGGGGATAACGCAAAAAGTATATATCGAACTACAGGCTCAGTAGTTAGCTCCTTATCACACAGATATTTTTTGGACTTTTCCACCCTACATATCTCTCAATTGCTTTTTCCCAGCGTTTCTACCAATTATCTGGCGATATATAACTCAATTCAACGATCGCTGGCATTATTTCCGTATATACTCACGATTGACGTCACAACAACGCCGTGGTGTTCTTGGTGCACACAAATTTCCAAAGGTCCTAGTAATCCACTCCCAGGATCATTGGCACACGCATTGCTAAACCATTTCTGGTCTAACTCATACGTCTCTCTTATTTGCCAAGAAATGACAAGTAATTGAGTGCATTCTTTTCTGGCCCGTTTGCCAAGAATATTTGAGCTTTCAAGCGCTCCAGCCGTTTCAGAAAGTTAGTAGATGCCAGGAGCCGGCACGGGTAAGACATCAAGGAGGAAGATGGCGTTGGTACTTGTGTAGTTTTGTGCATGATATATCACTCGACCCATAAACCTGCAGGGAATATTTAAGACAGATTATCAAACCAATCGAAAGCCACATTAATGGCGTAGAGATTATCTCTACTCTGATTGAGATGTTTGAGGAGTAGATAGGCTCGTGCTAGTTAGACCTGTGGGTGAACGGGTTCAGCCCTAGGTCCTACAGGATCGGAGTAGATGAATCAGTGAAAGTAGCGGCACTTAAATCATGCAAGGGCCTCAACGACTTTGGATCATTGGTGCACTTAACTTCATCTCTTTTAACATCCTCCTACTTATAATTTTTGGCCTTGTGTCCATCGTGCCTAGGAATTAGCTCGATATAGCAACTGTTGTTTGCCATAGGGCGCGTGGCCTTGCTCAAGCTTCTATTTCGACGAGAGTCAAAATGTGGGGAAATTACTCAGCGAAGTAATAAAAGTTTGTATGAAAGAATAGGAGATGAGGAAAGATAATTTTTCTCATACCTGTCCTCGAGGGCCCCATATTGTAATCTATCCCAACAGTTGCTCGAATGTAGAAGGTCTTGTAAGTTCACGAGCGCTGCAGAAGGGATGAAAGCAGCCAGAAAACTAGAGGCTGGAATCATCTATCTATCCTAGAGACGTCAGTGTCCGAAATAGTTTGTCCATAAAAGAAACTATGATGGTACCGAGAGGATACCTACACATAGTGCTTTGTGAAGGGACTTCATACTGTTAAAGCCAATCAATCGAAATCATCTTACTTACTGTTTATTAGATGATATCAAGATGAGTATGGGGGTAGAAATTATAACCCAGCAAGAACCGTCTCTGCTGCTCCGGTGGTGTAGAGAGATGTGATTTAACAATTGATTCAACTTCTGTACTATTAAAATTGATGTGAGTACACACTGAAGCTAGAGAGAGATAAGTGGATGAAGTACTTGATGAAAATTTGTGTTGGAAAGGAGAGAAGAAGGATGTGGGGAATAAGTGTCGGGTATAGTTGGATGGTCAAAAGAAAAAAGGTTAAGTGTAAGAAAGATGTACATGACAAGTGTAAGTAAGTACATGTACCAGCTAAAGTATCGCAAGTTTTCATTCGACATCTTTCCATAGAATTCTATCTTTTGAATGAATAACAAGCTTCACTGGTGATTAATACAAATAACCGAATCAAATTCTTTTTCAAAGTAGTTGGGTAAGAGAGAGATCTCGAATATTTCATTTAAGAAGAATGTCTATTGTAAAGATATCTTCTAACATTGCCTTTACTGCTGCCTTCATTGATCACATTCCCATAGGATTAAAGTTATCCTCTTCTCATTCTTAGTCCCTCCTGACGTAAGAGAACGGCTCGTTAATGGTGGGAACTAATACTAAGTTACACGTAACCTATCCTATCGATCCCTCAACGGGTAATGTAATAGGAATGAATTAAGGTTTACTAGCTTGCTTTCCTACGTTCAACATGGGAATTCACTTCTTTTATTCTACCAAATTATCCTTCCCCCATGCCCCATTTTCTGACTCCAACATACCTAATATTATGTCCGTCATGGCTGTTTCTACCACCTACAGCGCATACTAAAGAAATACGCCAATCAGTTACAGTCTTATATTAAGTCTTGACTTATTGCTTATCGATAGCTAGTCGAGGATATGATTAATCTATCGATTTTAGCTAGAGGATAGCAACAGTAGCGTAATAGAGTCCGTGATCGTTAACTGCAGAATTTTCGGGTGGGCTACCTAGTAAGTACTCGCGATTAATTCTGAAAAGGCATCAAGAAAGCTTTCTGTAAGTGTGTTAATTAGAAAGAAGGGATCGATAGATACATGCCTTTGCGCCTTAATTTCCCCAGACATTTTTTGTAAATGAATTATCTATTCAACGCCTTGAATTTTGTGGCCATAGCTACTTGTAGCAAATGCCTTCATTGATTCATTTTTATAACTAGCAGTCACATTCGTGAATTGAAAAGCACCCTATTAAAAGCGGGAAAACCTCCCCTCGATCTCGTAGAAATTAATCGACCAACAGCCTTTGTACATTGATCCTCAATCCTCATGCCAAGCAGGGGCGCCAAACGTCAAAACCGAGTGATAATTGATGTCTAATGGTACGACCACAACGGTTCTAGGCTAATTGTTTGATTTATTGATTGATAGTTCATTCGTGTATACGGTTCTGGGCTCTAGCCCATCCGCAAGCACTGCCCACTCAGTGGCCACTCTTACTGGAACCAGATATGCTGAACATCGCTGGCGCTCCCGATCCCAGGCTAGAAAGCAGATGTGGACCCTTTCATTTTATATCAATCCTTTTTAGCTATACTCTTAATATGAGTCCTAGAATTAAGGATCTAGCAGGTTTTATTTAACTCCTGTATATGGTTATCACATCTCAAGCCATGATATACATGCTTTCCGAGCTCCCTAGCACAAGCAAGAGATCTAGGTTGTAGATCTAGACAAGGCCAAACTGGAAGTTTGTTTATCTGTGATTCTGAACCCTTAGAACTATGAAGGACGTACATGTCTATGAAGATCTCTTGATACAAAGTTGTTCTTCCGTTGCCGAAGAAGTGTCCAGCAAAGCGCGACAGATACTATAACAATGATCTCCGTAATACCAATAATTATCTAGACTAAGGCCCAAATAGTTCTTTTCTACCACCGTTAGTACCTGCTTTTATCCTCGATTAGTGTTTTGATACGCAGGGAGGTGCCGCTTTCGTTTATGATCAAGCTCAGTCAGCCTAGAATTAATTCGAAGGTACGAATAGACTGCCTTTCACTAACGATACAACTCGACTTCTCGCTAGGATATGTCTTATTCCTCTGCTTAGATATAGACCCGCTGGACGTTTCCAACAGTGACGATATGTTTATAGGTCCATAGATCCACAGCTTTGCTGGCACGCTTAGCTATAGGCCCCAATAGTTTATAAAGGTTCAACGCTAATGTCAATTCTATAGCATAGGCCACCTAGGACAACCCAAGTCCCAACGGCATCAACGAGCGATATCGACCGTGCAAAAAGCATGCTACTGATGATTTCTATTTTGCTCAAAATTACCTGGGGCAGGATTCACCAAGAAGCAGTGCTCAGCAATTAACCGGGGAAACTATCCGCTGAAGTAGAAAGACCAGTTATCTGTTGATGAGTGAGCTAGGCCGCCTGTTTTCTGCCCTGCCGTTAACTACTCCGCCCGGTCAACTAGGGTAGAGGGCGCGCCCCAGTTCAGTCTGGATAGAAGGTGTGGTTGACGAATGGTTTGAATCTCCGTGTGGTTGGGAAAGTAGGTGATAGTTAAGGCTACCGCTGCCTGCGTGAGGGCGTTTTGCTGCTCCCTGCGTGAAGTTGCCTCGAAGTTTAGACCATAGCTGTCAACAGCCAACCCAGAGCTCACAAATGACCAAGAGATCTTATTTGCAATCAACCAAGCATAACAAGTGCAAAAACCAACTGCCGTCCCCGATGGTTGCGAACAACTGAACTCTCAAGGCGAGGGGGTTATAGTGTATCGAACTGGCGGGGAATGTGCCCGTGCTGTCTCAAGAGGTAGAGCGTGATGGGCCATGTCCTGTGTAGCATGTTGGGTCTGAAGAGCTATGGTTCCAAATGTTGCGGACAGTACGTCAACGGGGGTAGAGACAGCTTGAGCGGTTCATTAACGAGCCGGGATGATAACTAGCTCTGTTTTATAGATAGCTATCAAAGATCGATCAGACCGTTCAAGTTGATTGGCAGAGAGATGGGCTAAAGCACCCGCCAGGGTCCTGGAGATGATTCCATTAGGCTAGTCCTGCTGGAACAAGATGCCCGCTCGCTCCTGCTGGTGCATAGATAACGTCCTTAGGCGTGTCAGTAGAGTATAAATGGAGATGATCGATAGCCTAGCAGTCAAATCAGTGCAGTTTATTGGGCGTGAATATCAACTGTCGATCCGTTCAGCACTCATGGCCACGGGGGGTTATGGGCCCTTTAGTCATTGTAGGGCTCGACATAGTGACCTGGCAGACTAGCTATAGAGGTATCGGTATCGGTATATGTAGTTACTTAAGTATGGAGATCCCGGTAGCTGTCTCTTAGAATAAAGTTGTAGGCCAAGTATCCAAAAGCCCGCCTCTGACTGACTCTAAGTATGATGCCCAGCGTGTTCGGATAATGTTATTTTGTAGTCTTTTCTATCTGTCATTAATATTAGTACTGTGTCAAGGGTTGTCTTGATAAGACGTGTCTAATTACAACGTCTTTGTTCACTATAAAAGGAGCTTGTTCCTTCTGTTCTAGCTCGTTAATAATTATCAATCATACAATGCGATTCTCTTCAGTCTCTTATAAAACCGCGACGCCCTGAATAATAAGATCTATATTCTGATTAAGGTTCGTAATTAAGATTTCTCATGTAGGCAGAGATCCATCACTGACTACATGTAGGTAGCCATTTAAAAATTTTCTATGGAGTACTTGGTTGATCACCGCACTGTCAAGAAATTTCAGCCTACACAAATGACAGTATGTGGAAGGCAAGGCCCTGCAGCCAATAAGACCGCAGCATCTGTCTCACAACTCCCCATGAGCCCTGGACTCTGGAGCCTCCCCCACTCAAGCCTCAAAGCTTGGCCTGCAGCACCCGTCCAATCGACACCAGTGACAAAGGAACAGTCGCAGCACGTGATTCCAGGCTGTTGCAGGTGGACTCATATGCTGGCCGAACGAACGAAAGGTCCTGTTTCAAAGTGGATGGGCCTTGCATAAATCTAGTCACCCACACACGGCGGCGCCGGGGGGATCCCTTAGTCAGTAGCAGAGTGTATGGTTTATAAAAACCACGACTTGATGCTTTCTTCTTGTCCCCCCAGTAACCGTATCCGCAAGGACCTCTCAAGTTGACGTCAACAACAAGAAAGAATGTGTCTCGAAAATAAACACAAGCACGCGCTCGAGGATGTGTATCCGGCGCTGATGCCGATTATTGGTAATTGACTAGCTCCCCTTTGCTCGATCGATGGGGTTTATTCGAGGTTGTTGACGGGCAGGACCGTACGCGCGCACTACAGCTACGATATGGAAATGCTGCAACTGCAGCAACGAGGAAGAGATGTCGACGGTTGACTGCGAGAACTGCGACCACCAGCGGTGCGGACAATGTGCGAGGTGGTGATGGGATGGGATGGGATAGCGCTCTATAGATGGACTTCTACTCTTCTACATACTTTACTCTAGCCTCCCACCCATCGATCCCAGCTGCCTAATGTCCGGATCCATCCTCGAACGAACGACCCCTGCATGTAGGTGTAAGGATGCCCACCTGCTTGCCTGCGTTGAATATGTGGGGTCATGTAGAGAGCATGTAGGATCGATGTACGACAGGTACTTATGTATACTAATCTACTAATTCACCGGCCAACCAAGACGGAGTGATGGGCTGTGAAGAGAAGACACAGACACATGCAGCTGCCTGGATATAGATATTCATGTAGCTATGGCGATCTCTTGTCGTTGAGCCTCGGCACAACAGCCTTCACACGCTCTCTTCTCTCTGTCTCTGCCTGCGCACTTTACCGTGTGTACCGACCGTACCTTCCTTCCCCACCTTCAGCTAACCGTAAGCGACGCTTCCCGCTCCCCATGTTTCTTTTTTCACCACACTGGTCCTCACACACCCCCGCAGATTCGGATGCGGCCAACCGAGCCTGCTGCATAAATACATGGAGCTACATAGGTATTCGCTGTCTGTCCTCTTATCGTCACTGCTAGTAAGACTAAGAGTACTTAGTTATTTCATAAGATACTGAGCATCATCTCTCCCTGCTTCTTCTCTCAATCTCCAACGTACTCTCTCATATTTTCCCTATCGATATCGATATCTCTCTCTATATATACCTCTGCTGCTATCGACCTTATCAGATCTAGAGGGTATCTAGCGTTCGTTCGCACGACCATCAGTAAAATATCTACACACCTTTTACCTGTCACAATGGCTTCAGGTCCAGCTCCCGTCTATGTCCTTGGTGTGGGCATGACAAAGTTCATCAAGCCCCGTGGAAAAGTCGACTACCCAGAGCTCGGATTCGAGGCTGGCATCAAGGCCATGGTAGATGCCGGGATCAACTACGACGACGTTGACCAGGGCATTGCCTGCTACGCCTATGGCGACTCGACATGCGGCCAGCGCGTATTTTACCAATTCGGTTTGTGCCTTGCATTCCCAGAAGCCTCAGCTTCATAGTAGGCGGTGCCTAATACTGCCACACCAATGATAGGAATGACACAAATCCCCGTCTACAACGTCAACAACAACTGCTCCACCGGCTCCACGGGGCTGCACATGGCGCGGCAATTCCTTGCCTACGGCGCCGCCAATGTCGCCCTCGTCGTCGGCTTCGAAAAGATGTTCCCTGGCCCGCTGCAGAGCTTCTTCAACGACCGCGTGTCGCCGTTGGACAAGTCGTATATCATGATGCACGCCACTCGCGGGATAGAGCCCAAGAAGCCCGGTGCCGCGCAGCTGTTTGGCAATGCCGGCCGCGAGTACATGGAGAAGTACGGCGCGACAGCGGAGGACTTTGCGGAGATCGCGAGGGTCAACCATGCGCATTCGGCGAGGAACCCATATTCGCAGTTCCAGGACGTCTATACGCATGAGCAGATCATCAAGTCGCCGGAGATCTTTGCGCCGCTGACGAAGCTGCAGTGCTGCCCGACGTCGGACGGTGCGGCGGCGGCGGTGTTGGTGTCGCATAAGTGGCTCGAGGTGCATCCGGAACTGAAGGCGAGAGCGATCCTGATCGCGGGGCAGTCAATGAACACGTACGCCTAACCCACCCCTATCCACCGTATTCTTACCACGCAGTGTCCGGGCAGCACCACTAACACACAGCATGCGCAAACAGCGACGCCCCCTCCCTCTACTCAAAGTCCGCCATCGACCTCATCGGCTACGACATGACCAAGCGCGCCGGCATCACCGCGCTCGCCGAAGCCGGCGTCTCCGCCTCCTCCATCAAGCTCGTCGAGCTGCACGACTGCTTCTCCACCAACGAGCTCGTCACCATCGACGCCCTCGGCCTATGCCCGCCCGGAAAGGCCCACGAAATGGTGCGCAGCGGCGACATCACCTACGGCGGCCGCGTCGTCATTAATCCGTCCGGCGGCCTCATCTCGAAGGGACACCCGCTCGGCGCGACGGGGCTGGCGCAGTGCGCGGAGCTCGTGTGGCATCTGAGGGGCCAGGCGGGAGAGCGGAATGTGGAGGGCGTGGAGACGGCGTTGCAGCATAATTTGGGGCTGGGAGGCGCCGCCGTGGTCACGGTGTATAAGAGGGCGGATGGGGGAGCGAGTAGGAGGATGAGGGAGGGGGAGATGAGGGAGGTGGAGAGGGTGGGCGGGAGGGGGTATAATCCTGCGGTGGAGGCGAGAGGGTTGACAGAGAGCGAGGTGGAGTGCGCGAGGAGTAGGAGGGCCGCGAGTAAGTGGATGGAGGCGGAGGTGAGGAAGGAGGAGGCGAAATTGTAGATTGGGGAGTTTCTTTTTGTGCGGGAACGGGTATGGTCGTTTTTTGTATTTTTTTGTTTTGTTTTAGCAATTGGATATGGGCTGTATCAGTCACTTGTCATTGACCGGCCGGACAACACACTGCCGAACTTGCCGTCCTATTGAGGGATATTGTAGTAGTGACTTCTGTAGGGGAATTGTCACTCGACAACGCCCCCAAAACAAGTATTGGAAATGATGATGTGAATTGTTTTTATTGTAAGATATAGGTATTAAGAAGGACTTGGACGGCTGGTCTGGATTATGCTAAGGATGGTCATATTCATATACAGCTACCGCACTGCATATATAGGATGTCTTATGGGAATCTCTGGCTTCTCGTAAATTGTCCTGTAGGCAAAGTATTAGCTATGAAAACCATTCACCAAGCCTCCCAGGGCTGTTAGATTAGCAAATAATCAGGGCGGTATGTGGGTATGTACGTGTTGTTGGTTTTCGTTGAGGTCAATGATCGATTTGCGTCCAAGAACTATAGGTTTAACGCTATCCCTTGCTTGGATGGGTGAAATTCGCCTAGCGGCTTGTCTCTGGTTTGCTAGGGTGTTTGAAATTGGTGAAATAGATGCTAGATAGAAAAGAAAAAAAAAGAAGCTAACGTACTAAGACTATTCTCAGATTCCCTAGTTTTTTGTGGTTTGGTAGAATTAACCCACTAATTGAGTCATGAATGATCAATCGTAGTGATATGGTAGTGATGATGTAATACAACATTGGAAATATGGCGCCATATATCTGGAGAGGTGTCCTTTAATGGATGAGGGGTCATTTGAATGAGGGGTCAATTCAGACGAACAGATCCACGGGATGGATTATAGTAGACGTTAGGTCAGAGATATAGACAAGCTGCGTACGCATATGTTGTGAATGACACGCGCATAACCTTATTGCTTCATTCAAGAGTTGCTTAGCGGTTTAATTCTGAGTTTCTAGAAAATTCGACAAAAAAAGCCCTATATAATGTGCCTGCAGATAGGAGATGGATTGCTATCTATGTGGTATCTACAACCCGGGGGGGGGTAGTGGTAAGTCTGTTGAATGACAGTGGCCGTGGTTACAACAGTTCAGATCGCTGTCGATAGACTTACAATATCTCTATCTACCCCCGCAGTAGTACTGCTTACATGTAGGTATGTACTCGTTAAAGTCATGATGAGGGGAAAAAGTACACGTAATTACTGATAAGGTTTGATAATTAACCTGGCTAGACACAATTGCTTTATTGTGTGATCGCCACGAGTGCGCCTGTGTGCACGTGGGTTAATAAGTTAGAGCTCGAAATATTACCACAGTTACGTTTGTCTGATCTTGCAATTGTTCATGATCAGTTCATGATGGTCAAATAGTACAACGGTCATATAATTTATGTAGGAATAAAAAGCTAATCGACCTTCACCGTCGTGTTCCGTGCGCATCCCTCTCTACAATAATGGTACTTTATATATAATTATACATGTACATATATACCCCCGTGGTCTGAGCTCTGAATAAACTACATGTGCTTAATATGTGTACCTGAGTAATTGGTGTACATGTTCATGCATACATGTAGTACGTAATTATTAAGTTAGAGTTTAGTAGGGAAATATGTCATACGCAGTTACATGTAGTTAGCTTGTCTTTTGATCTTAAGAGTTCACACTAGGTAGCATGTAGCCAGAGAAGAACGCCAGAGTCGCAACTCATTGTGCCGCGCGGAAATTGCTACCAAAACTACGTCAACATCCGGCTTTAATATATACGTTGCAGGTACCGCCCTTCTAACGGTCAGTCTTATTTTCACCCCTACAGTCGAATCATATGAAGTTCAAGTACAAAATCTTTCCCTGTTAAACAATGAATTTAGCAACAACAAACAATACAGAATTACAGCTACACAACCAGAACGAAGATAAGGGACCACCTTCAAGACCAGACACATTGACTGATCTATCGCCAATTGCAATGGTTGATAGTGATAAAATTGAAGTTGGCGCCGGCGACGATTATCTTGAGCTCGGGCAAAGGCCGGCCGGCAGCGCCGGGATGACACCGGAAGATCGTGATCCTTTTGGAAACGAAGGGGGAAATGACATAAAGTTCAAGACGATGACTTGGTGGTAAGTCTTGTGTCCTTATTTGTGAGCTGTGCGGTTTTTTGTTTGTTAATGCGGGCGGAATCATCAAACAGGCAGACAGCCATGATAATGATCGCGGAAACCATATCTTTGGGAATTCTCAGTCTGCCTTCTGTTTTGAAGGCCGTTGGACTCGTACCGTAGGTGTTTCTAGGAGGATATCCTCGTCACTTAATTACGGTTTTGTTGACATAGATTCCCTGTGTTCTATCAGAGGATGTATATTGATTATCGGACTTGGTATCATTGCAACATACACTGGCTACGTTCTTGGCCAATTCAAACTGCGATATGTTTGTAACCCCCAGTGATTCAAACTCTGAGAAAGGAGACTAATATAATGGTTGTCTTTGAAGCCACAAGTTCACACTTTTGCTGAAGCCGGTGAAATTATTATGGGCAGTTTTGGTCGCGAGCTTTTTGCAACCGCCCAGGTTTTGTTCCTTGGTCTATATATCCCCTACTGAAAAAAATCTTCTTGTAATCACTGACTAATATTTTTGCAGTTTTTGTAATGGGCTCTCACATCCTCACATTTTCCATCATGCTGAACGTCGTAACCGGACATGGAGCCTGCACTATAGTATTCACTATCTGTGGCTTCTTGATATCTCTCATCTGTACTTTTCCACGCACTATGAAAAGTGTATCTTACCTTTCGATTGGAAGCTTTGCAAGCATTCTTGGCGCCGTGTTTATCACCATGATTGGTGTTGGGGTGTCAGGTAACCGGCCAACACTATTCGTGGTACCTGAAGACGGAACTCCGTTTTATTTAGCATTTGGAGCCGTTAGCAATATTATCTTTGCATATGGTACAATTACCCCTGATGGAGTGTTGGGCTTATTTAGAGTGACCACGTATTAACTGATGATGGGAATAGCGGGACATTTGGCATTCTTTAGTTTTATCTCGGAGATGAAAGACCCACGCGATTACCCAAAGGTATTGGGTTTCATGATCTTTTCACGCATTACGTTTTTCTAACTATTGTTTAGGCATTATGCGCTCTACAAATCAGCGATACCATTCTTTACCTTACCGCCGCGGTTGTGATTTACCGTTACACTGGCGAAGATGTCACCAGTCCTGCCCTTAGCTCTAGCACAAAGCTACTAGAGAAGATTGCCTATGGCATTGCGATCCCCACTATCGTGATTTCTGGGGTCATCAACGGACACGTTGCTGCTGTTTGTATCCTCTCACCCCCCCGACCTGTGGTTCTAGATGCTGATAGTATGGCGGTACGTTAGAAATACATTTACGTCCGGATATTTCGAGGATCCGATCATCTTGGAAGTCGTAGCTGGTATGCAACTTTTGTCTGGCTTGGGATTATCACGGTTCTTTGGGTGGTTGCGTGGATTATTGCGAGCGCGGTGCCGATTTTCAATAACTTGCTAGGGTTGATTGTGAGCTTCCTCTTGCATTTTTTGAATCGCAAACGATTACTAATGGGTATTATATAGAGCGCATTGTTCGTGAGTTGGTTCACTTGTGAGTAAATTCTTACCCCTTGCGATGTTTTAGGTTGCTGAACTTGCTTTAGATGGTGTAAGTGGGTGGTTTTGGATCCATATGAACAGGGGAAAGCTGTTCTTGAACAAGAAAAAAACCTTCTTGACAATTGTCAATGTGGCGATAATGTGTATGGGTGGTACTATCGTAAGTGGTTTCTTCTGCGCACACTAATAGGCCATCACTGAAAGTTGTTTAGATGGTCTGCGGTCTTTACGCTTCCGGGAAAGCAATCCACGACGATAAGAGTGGCAAGCCGTTCTCATGCGCTGATAACTCCGTATAGTCATGAATGAGTTATATTGCTGGGCTAAAGTTTGGTTGAATTTGTTTATATCTGGGCGTTTAGGTGGGGGGGATAACTCTAGAGTGCAGTTTCCTCGTGTGCTTTTTGTTACCATTGTGTAAGGGTGCCAATTGTCTTGTGTTGCTTGGACGGCAGCCATGAGTAGTGGAGGTAGAGTATTACTCTACATGTACTTATCTATATAGCTATTTAAGTTTTAGTTCGTAGTTGATTGGTGTCCACGTGTATGTGGGCAGGCCATGTAATGGTAGATGTGGTACGTACTCTACCGGAACGAGATTATTCTTGGGCAGTGAGACATCATGGCTGCGAGTTATATGTAGAGTAAAAGTACGTACACGGTGGTTGCGTATAGCCCGTCACGTTATGTATGGCGAGGGGTGGGTTCTAGAGTTAAGTAAATCAGTACTTAAACTACATATATGCGTCTCTTATAGTATACTCTATACAATTAAGGAGTAGTCAGTTTTCAGTAGACAACCATAAATGTAGGGCAAATCCTTTTCTGGGGTTGTGGGTCCATCGTTACCAGCAACGTACATGTATTTGACCAAGTACTGTTAGACTTAGCTGGCCTAGTAACAACCAAACTTAATTTTATCACAACCAAATTTGTATACCAATGACCCGTTTCCCAGTTTTACACGGTACCAGGTTAAAACGTATATCTACATGTACATGATGTAGGTCGTCAATCACTCTTCCAGCAGCGGCGGGACAACCCCTAGAACTTCATATAAAAGCAAAACATTCTGTCAAAGCATATGTGCATACCGCTTATGTAGAGGACTTCTCCTCCGTACCTCGTCCAAGGTATTTACCCAAAAAGGCACGAATAGTACTGCGAGTGAGGGGCTGTGATGGAAACATTTGCCAAGAAGAGTGTCTCGGATATCGCTGATTATTCAGCCGACACCAAGACTAGCTCATGCTTCCTCACTCAGCCACGCCCCAAACGACTGGACTGCACACACACACACACACCACACACACCACACACACATACATACAGCATACATACACTAGTACACATCATCGACACTTTCACTACCGCTGTCATCCATCTCCAGCACTCCCTTGCTGCACCACACTGCTCCTTCCGCTGTGACATCCACAAATACTCCGGTGAGATCGCTATCAGTCTCTTGCATCGCCCCTTACTGGCCCTCCCGTCGTTGGCCCCTGCCCGTCCCGTCTACGGGAGTTCTAGCTCCTCCGCTCGTCGCAAACCAATATCACACCACCGACTGCTGGCTGGTACCGTACTCTCCACCCGCGTCTCTCCCTCGACGGTGTCGTTGCCTATATCGATACACGTCGATATCTCTAAGAAGAATCATCATCATGACTACTGACGTTTCTCGACAGCTGGCTCCTGCCACGGAGACTAATGTTGTAGCTGGTAGGGTTCACTCGCTATAGACCTCACTAGTGGTAGTAACTAATGCCTGTCTCTTGTTAATAGGAAATGCTGAACGCCGCAAGGGTCGCAAGCCATTCGGCTCCCTCATGAAGCGCCTCGCTTCTCTCAAGAACCACACCAACAGTGCCTCCTCTTCCTCCCAATCACGGACCGCAAATGGTCTCTCAACTGCCTGTTCTGGCCAGTCGGGATACTCTGCAAACTATCCTTACAAGGGCGGAAAGTCTGCGAGCGGACCCCCCTCTACATCTGCCTCTGCAGTGGCTCCCTCTCATATCTCTTTCGGCCCAAACCATCACGGGTCTACTCACTCTTTGTCTAGCACGGCATCGGTCTCTTCTAGCACATCCGGAGATCACTCGCTCACGCAAACCCCCTCGGAGAAGTCCCGCGGCCGCCCCGCACCATCCGCGATAACTGCGACAACAGCAACTACGTCTGCGTTTTCCTCCCCGACACCGTCTGTCCGCTCACTCACCACAACACTCACGACAATCCAGTCTACCGCGCCAGGCTCCATGCTCGATCCGTACCCGCATTACAACCCGCATCCATCCCACCATCATAATCCAAATGCCCCGCCAATGCTGTTCCAGCACCAGTTTCCCTCGTCTCCTAATGGCAATCCGCCAACAAGCCCAGGACCAGTGATGGCCATGAATAATGGCTCACTCCACCCTCTCAACTACTCCACTGCTACAGCAGGTGGTCTCCTGACTGATAATGCTTCAATTCTTACTTTGGCCTCCTCATCCAAAAGACAGCGCCGCCACTCCCTGGATACCGATGCATCGGTGCGCGCCCTTGCGCCATCCTCGCTCTGGGGTGGGTCGCGTGAGTCGCTCCCACTATCGGTGTTGTCGGGAAACTTCGACACTGGGAGGAGTATAGCTGGAGACAGGGGAAGCATTTACGGATCCACGTCTTTCACCACTGCAAGGGGAGGGGATGCAGCGAGTATGAGTTATGCAGGGAGCATGAGGGATTATGCTGGCGGGAGCGGAAGCATCATGGGCGAAATCTCGGGAGCAAACCCGTTGTGTACCAGCCCTCACGCGGGAATGACAATTATTGGAAACAGGGAGAGCGTCAATTTGGGAAGGAGCAGCAGAAGAAATAGTGCTTGGGTTAGGGGCGAGGAGGAAGAGGAGGAGGAGGATGAAGATGACGATGCAACAAATAGGAGGAGGAGCATGAGCGCAAACGGAGATGCGGATGACGGCGAAGGAAGAGGAGGGGATGGGGCAAGCATGCGAGATGGTAGTAGCAGTGTGGGTATCTGGCATGGTGTTTATGGGAAGCGTGAAGATACGCGGGAGAAAGGTAGAAAGGATATGGAGAAGAACTAACGGGCTGTATTGGGCGATTGCCAGGGGTGAAAGTCGGTAGTAGCAGTGGTAGTAACAGCAGTGCTGGTCTTAATAGGGCCAAATTATTTGGGTAGAAGGAGTGAATTTTCACAAGTATCTTTTTTCCGTTCTTCTTTTCCTTTGCTCTTTCTTTTCTTTTTCGCAGGAAGCATCGTAACTCTCTAACTATTTATCTAACTCTTTATTCGTTTTTCTTGCGCGGTTTTTTTTCTTACTTCTTTACTGGCCTGGCTTGCTTTAACTGTTTTTTTTTTTTTTTGGTTTCGTTCTTGGCTGCGTTCGGCGGGTGGGCTTTGCTTTTCTCTCTTTTTATCTTTCTCTTTTTCTTTTCATGTTTATGGAATCGAGCTGTGTTGAATTTCATGATCGAATGGTACGTTTTATTTTTAGTTTAGCTGCGGACTTTTTTCTTTCTCAATCTTTTTTTTTTTCCCCAGAGGGAGTGCTTGGTGGCTTGGTGCATGGGAAGTATTGTGAGCTCTAAGTTCAATTGCGCTTGGATTCTGTTCTCATACCCTTTTTTTTCTTCCGCAATCGGTTATACATGATGTTATATTAGCTGCGCTTAGTGCCTTTTTTTTTTCTTTCTTGAGGGGGCTGGCTGTGGTTTGGTGCTGGCTAGTGGGGTTTGCAATTGGGATCGAATAAGAGTTGGCTTATTTTTCCTTCTGTGCATGTAGTTTTGCGGTGTGAGAGTCGGTGAGACGTGCTTCTATGTGTGGGCCGTAGTTACATGCAGGTGATTATATATATATTATTTCTTGCTATATAATAGAAGAAGGGCCCGGGAAGAGCCAGTGCCATTAGTTGAAAAGGTTTGGTGTAGGTTGATACTGATCGCGCCAGCTGTGGTTGGTACTTTGATGGGTTGTTGCCTGGGCAACGAGTCATGGTTTATCACTCGCTATCTGGATGAGTTCTTCTGAACCGCAAAATATAGTGGACTTGATGGGTTGGATTTGTATATGTGAATGGGTACCAAATCGGCTTTCACACTAGCTACGCCCTCCATGAAGTGGTACATACAGTTATACTTGGAGTGCGCTTGTGCTTGCTTCATGGCTTCTCACTCGACGCAATGTTCGTTAGAGGCTTTGCAGCGTTGAGATCAGTCTTGATGTGTACGTGTTTCTCGAGATACAGTGATTGTAAAAATAAATAGAAAAACCCCACATTCCTCCGGTCAACCCCCCAAAAATCCCGTGCAATTAATCTTGGAAATAAAAAAATGAAATAAAATCGAATGCTTCAACAGATATATATCGACGAAACCCCAATTCAGACTGCGTCCGGATGCACTGAGCCTACTTATATGTTACCCAATTAGCTCTTAGTTAGGACCGAGAGGGCTACAGCGGATTCTATAAGGGGGAACTGACATGGCGTGATCACTCCGAAAGGCTTTCTTCGTCTGAGGTTTGCTCTGTTTCCGAAAGGCTTTCTTCTTCTGAGGTTTGCTGTGTTTCCGAAAGGCTTTCTTCGTCTGAGGTTTGCGGTGTTTCTGAAGATTGGGTAAGCACCTATCTATTACTTATACGGATGGGGAAAGAGGACGATCTTACCATGTTCATTAGATATTGCCCCTCTGGCCAGCAGCATCTCCACGATCTTTTCGTATTTACTACGGGTCGCTGCCTGTAGTGCATTACGATAGAGACCACCCTGAGCGTTTACATCTGCCCCTCTGTCCAGCAGCATCTGCACGACCTTCTCACGCCCCAAGGAGGCCGCTGCCTGTAGTGTATTGCCATAGAGACCACCCTGAGCGTTTACATCTGCCCCTCTGTCCAGCAGCATCTGCACGATCTTCTCATGCCCGTTGTAGGCCGCTGCCTGTAGTGCATTGCCATAGCGACCACCCTGAGCGTTTACATCTACCCCTCTTTCCAGTAAGATATATGTGACATCTTTGTGCCCATATTCTGATGCTAAATAGAGGAGTGATATATGAAGCGGATTTTTAAATTCAGGGTCTATATCTTTATCATCCCATAAATCCTTTATATTCACTCCGAATCCAAATATCGAGGCGGCACAGGATGGAAGAGGTAAAATATCCTTAATCCTTTGACTATCTCTGTATCTCCCCCCACGCAGTGACGGAATTGTAATGCGATCCTGGTAAACTATAGTACTCATAAGATTATCGAAAACCTCTATCCAGCAAGTATACGCCGCACTGGGTTTCTGGAGTGGCCCAAAGAAAACGCGCAGCAAGTCCCAAATCTTATTCTCGGGACTTTGCTTGGAGCATCGTTGAAAATGAACCATCCAGTAAAATGTTGGATATTCCTTTGTGTGTTGGATGGATTTATCCAAATCGCTCAATATAGAAAGAGATGCCTCTGCAACCATGGTATTGGCCTCAAGTAGAGTAAAGAAAGTTTCCTTTTCAAGAAATTCCTGGACAGACAGGTGAAAGAACCGTATGACATTGAGTTGTTGATCCAATTTTAAGAAGTTGTGGCACATGTCCAACAAAACATCGATGTCGATCGTGGGAATGTTTGATTGTAGGGAAATCATGGCAGTTAATTCTTCTGGCGAAAGTGGCCGACAGGAGCACAGAACCCACATGAGTGCGATTTTGCGATCTTGGGAGCGGTCCCCTTCTTGCGCTGTATACGCTCATAGATATCTTTATATGTTTCTTCGAGGGAGCTTGGAAAGTTGTCCAACATTTCCCTGACGTCTTTCTCGAGACTCAGAGCACAAAGTTCTTTAATCTGCAGCTCTACCCACAAGAACCTATATAGATAGTATTTAGTAAATATAAACCTCCTGGTATATAGATGGCCTTTCTGGGGTAAAATACATTCCGCGAGCCTTCTCGAGCAATTTGGAGATTATAAGCTCCTTTAAAGAGCCCTCAACTTTACCTCGCAACAACCTCCCACCTGCAATGCACCCACTCAGCTCTTCATTGATGTACCGTCTAATATCCATGGCGTTATCCGTCTCCTCTATATAGATATTCGGCGCACTTTCAAACCGAATTTTGATGTCGTCGTCGTTTCTACTAGAAATGAAGATTTTGACTAAGCTTGAGGAGTCATCAAGTATCTTTTTTAATCCGTTGAATAATTCATATCGGCTCTCGATATCACACTCATCTAAAGCATCAATGACGATAGTGGTATGTAGATTCGAATTGATGAGAGTGACGATCAAACTGACGCATTTTTAATTCCTGGTCCATCATCAAGGGTCTTTCCAGCTGTGCTCTTCTTATATTCTGCAACTACAGGTTCCTGTAAAGCATTTTCGGGGCCTTTGAAAGACAATTGTCTTAATATGGATCGCATGATTTCTGTTGGGTCATTTAACAAACCCTCGCCTCGTTTGCAATAGAAGTAGGCAAGGTTTTCATCGCTTCTCGACAAATTTTGTTTTTGATCTATGGTGTCTACCACCATTGAGCTACAATTATGTCTTAGTATGAATCATAGGTGATTGGGAGTTAGAATCGGAGAATTTACGTGAGTGGTGTTTTCCCCGCACCAGCTAGAGACAGAATCGGATTAGATATCAGATATCAAAGAGATTTCCGTAGGATATATCTTACGATCACCACGTAGCCACAGAAGACCCGAGGCACTTGAAGACTACCATTGGTCGAATCTATCGCTCTCGAGAAGCCACTCACAAGTTCCTTCCGTCCGATTTTTTTTTGCAGTTCGATGATATTTTGTATATGGAGTTTTCGATATCCAATCGAGTATCGCTTTTCGTTTGGAAACTTGTTGGACATAACGTATTCGAGTCAGAGAATTAGTTGAAGATTCCGTATCTTATAACTAGAACAGCGAGATTTACCTTCCAATCCATCGACAAGAATTTCCAGATCTCTTTCGATCCTTACAATAGGCATTTTGAATTCATTCAGTAGCATCTGAAGTTCTTTGTACCTTTCTAAAAAATAAAAAATAGTAAGAATATTGATTGCCACAGACCAATCTCGATCCTGAGTATAATATAGAACCTTCAGCTATCATGTTTGCAGCGCTCTGATCTGTGTAGCAATGCTCTCTTGTTAGCGCCACTATGCTTATATGAGATCGTCAATCAGTAGCTTATTTCTAGGTCAGGAAGTTTACTTTTGGCTCCCGCGAGATGTGACTCCTCAAAGACTTTAGACTCTTTTGCCTGAAGTGCTGTCAAAGCTTCTGCTGGTCCATCGGTATCTAAAACACCCCATGCAATGCGGACTGTTACGTAACTTAGATATGGGCCGGGATTTGAATATTTCTTTGTAAGAGGCTCAAAGAAATCTTACCGATAGTATTTTCGGCATAGTAATGCTTAGCGTTGATCATATAAGTCAACATATCGGCATATAGCGCAACCAAGGCTTCTTCTACCCGTTGTGCAGTATCGAAGCTAGTCCCGAGATATAACTCCTCGTATATGGCACATCTTCCCATAAGGTTCGTAATTACCTCGATCCCCACTAACATCTCGCCCATCTTTTGGTGGTCCTTGATAATAAACTATCATGTCATCAGTTTCTTCGTCTGATTATGAGGGTAGCGATCATGGAGGAACAGGATATATTATTGAATACAATCATTTCAAACATCGAGCTCAAATCTCAAGTTATTGGCAGGCTAGGAACACATGTATTTAATTCAGAATCATGAAAATCTTGATTCTTTATTAACATCGGCTGCCAAGAGTTCAAAACTTGAGCTTGAGATTTGAAAAGAGTGTGGCCAATGCATGTATAAATCATTGAACAAACCTCTATGAGATATCTAACTGGTACCCAGGGTATCGCAGCATGAACTGGATCGCCTTGAGCAATGACATTTCCCAGTGTCTTGAATTTATTGACCCATTCAATTGTCTTGTCCGCGATATCTCGGAGGACAATATTCTTTCCTTTCCACGAAATTTTCCACATTTTCTCCTGGCAGGTCTCTCTCGCTGTGTTAGTAGCTTTCAAAACATCATCAAGGACCTTGAGAAGACCATCCGAATTATGAAAGTCGAACTCTTTTTGACTTTGGGCGGGCAGTTTTTCGATTGCTTTTTCCCATGGCGAGGGCTTATTACTATATTCCATGTAAGTTCCTCGTACGGTCTCAGTATTTAAAAATACTATGGGACTCTTACGGGGGTTTAGAAGGGCTTATAGATATGGTATCTGGACTGGTAACTTTGGTGATTACTGGACCGGTACCCGTAAGGGGTAATTTCAGTATGCTACGCTAATTTCTAGAGTCCTTCGCAGACAGCACAATACTGGGAGCAGTTTGTGTATTTGTATCATTGAGGATTTTAGGATTTGCCGCGGGCATAGTAACACGCACGTTCGAGGGTCCTGCTACAACTGGGGAGGATTGCTCATCTGGTACAGTTTGTGATGAATTTATAGGGTTTGGCGATATTGACCGAGCAATGCCACTCCCCCATGCGCTTAGTTTGTTGCGGAATCTGGATCTTCTTGACGTATCTAATTGACTTCTGTATAAGCTACGCCTGAACACTTAGACAGCCCACGCTATGAAAGACCATGCCCGATTTTTTGGTCGGGTCCTTTCCACCGGAAGACGACATGTTTATCCAGGACTATGATATTAGTTAACACACAAGAACCCCGGGACTAGACGTATGAGTACTGAATGTATTATATAGGGCCAGGTAAATTGGCTAGTCAATAAAGCTTCAAACTCGCGCGCTAGCGCGCGTACGGTAGTGTTTGTATATTGCAGTGATATTGTAGTGGGAACCCCGCTCTTTACTGTATGGTACTACATACATGTACCTACTCGTTAACCCCCCCGGTACATAGTGTGTTACCCGGCTTCCAATTCACCCACATAGTGGCTAGCTAGCTAGCCACAAAGCATTCACGCCCAACGTCTCGCATCGAATTATAACACCAAGACACCAGATCCCATCGCAACTTAATATGTCCGGCCGAGCTCTCCGCAAGGCTCTCCGCCAACGCGAGCTTGCAGCACTCTCACAGAAGCCCGAGGATACGACCCAAGACGAAGAAGAACAGGACGATGACGCACCCCCGCCACAGAAACCAAGCCTATTTGCCCTCCTTGACGGAGAAGACGAGCCAGAGGACGAGCCAGAGGACGAAGACGAAGAAGAGGAAGTAGCGGTGGAAAAACCAATAATACCGAAGCAGGAAGGGGCGAGTGCATCCTCAAAGAAGAAGAAGAAGAAGAAGAAGGGTAAGTCCAAATCTGCACCACTGGTGCAGGAAGCAGGCGAGGATGAGATCGACGCCGCACTCAGGATATTGAATCTTCAGCGCAAAAACTCTGGGGAGACGCCGGATGTTCGTGTCGAGGAGAGTAAGCGGTTATCAGAGATCCTACGGGTGGATCCAAGGAATTTTGACGCTGCAAATGAAATGCGGCGGCTTTTTGGCCGGGTGGCATTAGATGGAGCGGAAGAACATGGGGCAGGTGGACGTAAGAGAGCTGCTGTTCCTGCGAGAGGGCTAACAGGGAGGAAGAACACCTTCGTTCAGGCCAAGGAAGAGTGGCCGGTTGCTAGCAGTGGAGGGTTAGGGATGGAGACGGTATCGACAGACGGCGACAATGTTACAGAATTCAGGTTTGTACACTCTAGAGCATATCAAGACGTACAAAAACAGTTTATGATGTGTGTTGCATCAATGGGTATGTTCTTCTTTATAAAAAGGCACCTCAGAAATTATTCTGACAGAAGGCCCAACAAGACCCGAACCGTCTGATACAATTAATGCAACACAATCCTTATCATGTCTCTACTCTACTACAAGCGTCAGAAATCTTTGCCCAGCAACGAGACCACACAATCTCCGGCGACCTTCTTGAGCGCGCCCTCTTCACATTCGGCCGTTCTCTCCACTCCACATTTCAGTCGAAGATATCCGAAGGAAACGCCCGTCTCTCGTTTCTCTACCCTGAGAACCGTGAGTTCTGGCTTTGCTCATGGCGTTATCTGCGGAATCTTCAGATGCGCGGGACCTGGCGTACCGCCGAAGAATTCGCACGCTTACTCCTAGCTTTGGATCCGGAGGGAGATCCATATCAGATGAGATTATGCATCGACTTTATTTCCTTGAAGGCTCGCCAGCCCGAGCATCTCCTCGCTCTCGTTGAGCATCCCATGTTCAGAGAGCTGTATACTAATCTCCCTAACATGGCTTACTCCACCGCGTTGGCATATAAGCAACTCAACCAGGACACTGCGGCAAGGGAGTATCTGGCGAAAGCAATGACGAAATTCCCATGGGTTGTTACCCGCCTATACGCTGAATTGAACATTGAGACCGATATCCCACCTGCCCTCTGGGGGGCACTGCCACCAGAGGGAGATAAACTGCAGCCTCTACTGGCGGAGCTATACGTCTCCCGCTCGCAGGATCTCTGGAAAGAGTCGGGAGCAAAACGCTTACTTACAGACGTCGCAAGCACCATCTACAACCTCCCCAAAAAGTCCCTCCTGAAACCACAGAAAACAGAAGAACAGGAGATCATCGAGGGCGTATCGCTGGATATTGCGCGACATGTCCTCATTGCGGATATCCCAGGTGTTACTGCGCTGTTGCCACGAGGGTTTACAAGCCATGGAAGCCGGGGGTATGATCTATTGCCGCCGCCCGGCGATATCAGGAGTTACTCGGTGGATATACCGGATACTGCGCCCGGTGCAATAGAAGGCCACAGTGCCGTGGGGGCTGCGGGATTGTTTAGAGAGCTTCTGAGAAGCTTGTTCCCACATTTGGACCACGCTGCGGGGCAGCAGCCGTCGGATCAGGAGGTTTTGGCCGCGTTGAGGGAGAGAGGGATTGATATTGAGCAGGAGGGGTTGGGGGTCTGGATGCCTGATCAGGAGGAGGAAAGAGACGGGCCCGAGCGGTGATCGTCAACCAGTTTTATTTTGTGATAATTGTTAAACTACATATATTGTGAGTGTTTAATTCACATGGTGTGATAGTCGTTAAGTCCAGGTCGAGTGATGACTCGTGAATCAATCTGAAGCGATCAGTGCTTATAAACATGTATATAGAAGATCAGTTTCTTGTGGCTCTCTACTACGAGGATTAATGAATCAGGGAAAATCGCCCTTTTTTTAATCAGCGTAATGTGTAATGTAAATGCAGGCCTCAAATGTATCAAGTAATGAACCACTTCGATTTATAAATTTAGAGAATTTGTATGTCGAATGCATCGGGGAACGAATCGGGAAATAAGCTTTTTATGCATCAGGCAATGTGTGGCAGAATGTATGAGGGAACGTATGAGGGAATGCATGAGGAGATGAATCGGGTAATGAATCGGGTAATGAATCAAGAAGTGTAAAGGCATCGCAAAACGAATCATGTTTATTGAGAAAAGAAAAATTAAAGTCACCGGGAGTTGAACCTATGACTGATGATATGTTTTTTGCCCTTATTCATCTGTGTTAGTAAACTGTACCTAAAATTAAAAAGTCGGTTTATTTCGTTGGGTAATGTGTTCTCCAAATTGTATCCTATATTGTATTAAAAGTCGTAGAGGGCAATAGTGTATTCAATTGGATCAATTGATTCATTTACAACAAGTCTCGACGGTAATTGCATCAATCGGGGCCCTCTACACCACCGGCCTGTGTGGCTAATGTGCTTATTGATGCATTACCTCCCGTAGCAGAGGCTCAATGCCTTGATGTTTAGAATAAACACATGTATATACTTGTAATAGTTAGATCTAGAGCCTTTCTATGCAGTACGTAAGTATAATATGAAGGTGCAATATATGAGGCTCAATGACTCTCTTTTCAAACCGGGCACCTGATAGAATAGCATACTTTGTAAAAGCAGGATGTAGGTATGGAATATCATATGCTCGGGGTATTTGCCCGGGCCTATGATCTTTATGATCTTGCGGGAAGATCGATGCATAGAGCATCCCGGTATTACCTCGACGCAGGTTGGTTCTGCAGGGAGCCGAAAAAAAGCACTGCAACGGAGAAGGCCGAGTTGAGGAAGGAGGAAGGGCGATGCTTAGGTTCCAGTCGATACTTTCTCTACTCTACGCACGTGCACACGGACGCGGGGGTGCTGCGGGACCTGGCGGGTGCGGGTGGTGCGGGGGAGGCACTAGCGAAGGCGCGGCGGTTGGTGGGGGAGACCCAGGCGGGGCTGATACATCTGAATATGAGGTGGATGGGCGGCGTGGCGTAGACATAGGCGTCGCACCTGTATTTGCCGGGGGTGCTGGTGACGACGCAGCCGCATGGGCGGGTGCGGAAGGAGGCGTGGGGTGGGGGGCACGACGTTCACGAGGGTGCTGAGGAGCTGCGAGTCGCGGGAGCTGGTGGCGGAGTTGGTGGAGGGGGATGGCAGGGAGGGGTGTGGGTTGTGGGCGGGTGGGCGTGGGATGGGATGGTGCTGCTGGAGGGGTGTGTGGTTAGTGCGATGAGGGTTGCGAGGGACTTTGGGGTTGAGGTGGAGTGGTGAGGGGAGAGGAGAGGATGGAATGATACCCCCGGCGGTCTGTGTAAATATTGTAGTGGTAATTAAACATATGGTCTGCAATTAATACACGGCATAACGAATAGAAACAGTAACTAAACTACATAAAACAACTACTTGGAAAGTGTTCTGGATGGAATCCATACGCCAAGTCGATCGCGCGTGGGGGCCGAGTGAGCGAGTGTGAGTTACTGGGTGAGTGATATCTGGTGCTCCAGCACATCCATGGCCATACATCCATATCCCTGGACAAGGCAGACTACTGTACATATACTTCACATGGATCATCCCAACGGCGATCACTGCAAATAGTAATCCACACACATCTAATTAGCATAGCTATCGCTCGGGCGGATGAATTTTGTGCACCACTTAGTAAGGGAATTACATAACCTTGCTCTTTCCAGTTGCTAACAACAGCAGAGCCAATCACGAAGTTACAATAATTACCACAGAAGGCTAGTGAGGGAAGTCGCGAATTTGACAACAGTCATCCGCCCGATCGAGCGATACCGAGTATGCAATGTGTATTGTATTTTAAAGGTTTCGATTGGCTGTGTTTTGGATGTTTTCTTTTTCTCGAGCTACTTATTGATATTTAGGCCGGTGGTGAGTCAGCTAAAAAGAAAACGTTATGTTGGAGGTTATGTTATGTTAGGTTACCGTTTCTTTTTGTTTGTTATTGATTCTGCTATTCGGTGGTTTTGATATGTTTTGTGTTTTGTGATTTGAGATGTTTGGGATTATGATATGTTTTGGGATTGTGATATATCAACGGTATACCACTTTAGCAGAGCAGAGCAGAGGCAGCACACCTCTCTGGTGACACTCTTCACTATTCTTTATTTCATTATCCTCACCGGCCAAAGGCCGGAACCGGCTTGTACTCTATATACGCTTTGGAAGTCGCTTCACAAGCAAAATATAGGCAATTGAAAATGTAATGGGTAGAGACGCTTCATGGCATCTGACTCGGTCGGTCAGTTTGCGCCGGGTCAGAGTTGATGATGATGATAATTCATTACCGAGTCAGAGCTGGTGTCTGGTGGGTGAAGGTATGTAGGTGTTTATATACAGAAGCATCAACTACCACCCTCTTCACCAGACAATATCTAAAGCCCATAGATCTGAACCGAGAGTCGTCTAGCAAGCCCACGTCCCATATCCCACATCCCACATCCCACATCCCGCCCCAGTACAAAACCAAAGCAAAGCAAAACACCCAACAACAACAACCCTCTATTCTCCTCGTTCTATATACATATCTACACCACCTTCCCCGCCTCCCCTGGCGCAGCCCCAGCAGCGTCCCCGACCGCATACGGACTCACAGGCTTACACGCCTTGATCTCCTCCGGCCGCGGCATCACCACCGAGAGTACCACGTTCTGCACCAGCGAGTATGCAGCCGACGTGGCCCAGTAGAGCGTCAATGCCTGTTTGCGTCTTCGTTAGCCATCCGTCCATCTCTCCCCACACAGAAACAAAAGTAGAACAGAGCCATACCGCTGGCATATCCAAGATCAGCGGCAGCGCCACCAGCGGCACCACCCGCAGCGTATTCGTGAGCACCCGCTGCGTGCGCGTGGCCGGCGGGTGCAGCGCGCTCTGCATCTCGATGTTGGCAAACATCAGGAACGAGAACGCCATCGGCAGGATAAACAGCGGGTCTGCGTCCAGCAGGTCCGGGAACCAGAGCGCGCCTTCGGTGCCGAAGCTCGGTTCGACGGGGATTAGTCTTTCTGCCGCAGTGACGGTGTCGGTATCGAGAGTGCCGGCGGTGTCGGGGGCGAGGGCGTCGGGGGAGGCAGCCTTCCCGCGCCACCACTCCGGCAGCCCGTCCCTCCCCGTCATTCCACGCAGCGTGACCGACGCCGCAACCCACACGGGCAGCTGCAACAGCGGTGCGGCGAACGCCTTCCAGCGCTGGCAGCCATGGCGCTTTAGGATCTCGGAGCGCTTGGCGCGCAGGGCTTTCCGTGTCGCGGCTTCCCACTGCTGCGGGGTTGTTGTGGTCGCTTTTGCGGCGCGCGCGAGCGGGTGCTGCCAGGCGGAGACGAGGGGCTGCAGGTCGAGGGTCTTGAAGGCGCGCTGCCGCGAGTAGATGGTGGTGGGCGTGGTGATGAGCGCGCGCAGGAGGATGGCGCTGAGGGGGATGAGCGTGCACCAGGGGAGGGCGGTGGTGGTGTGCAGTGTTGTGAGGAGGGTGTGTGTGGCGGTTAGGGCGGGTTCGATGAAGGGCCGGGCGGGGGTTGCGTGGAATGAGCGGTGGCCATTGGCAATGCGGGGGCGGGCGAGGCGGGGGAGGAGGTGCGCGCGGGGGAGGGGGAGGGGCATGGTGGGCGTGCGTGCGGCATGGCGGGGGTGCGGTTGTGGTTGTGGTTGCGGTTGCTGTGTGCGTGGTTGCGTGATTGCTGGTGCGTGTGTGTTGTGTGTGTGCAGCATGTGTGCCGGGTGATTTCCTGTGAGTTGATTTTGTGCAGCCTTGTACTCTAATTGTTGTCTGTCCCATCCATGCCAGATCAATCAAGCTGCACTCTCACAGCAGCTTCTCTCCCTGTGTCCAATTGGAGTTGGATACAAGCGAGGGAAGTGTCGCCATCAACGCCTCAACGCAACTAATGGCTGTTACAGACCGCTACCTGTAGCAAGGTGTCTGTGCAAATCTCTGTCCTGCAGCCCAAAGCCTTCTTAATTTTGCGAGTAAACGGGCAGCCTGCAGATCCTGCCATATGGCATAGCGAGATCGTAAATAGAACTGTACATATTCCAGGGCAGTACTAGATCGAATACTAATCACAAATGCACTCAAGCCATGGCACCCGACTTGGACTACAGCTGCTGCTTGCTTGCTAGTAGAGTAAAACCAGACCCTCAGGGGGCCGGTGAGGAAAGTATCTTGGTATTTTCATCATTGCAGCATCGGAATATTGCAAGGCGACCAGAAATACTTTGAACAGGGGTTCTGATTGGTGGATATTATATATAATTATGGTTAGCTGAGTATTTGAGATGCAGCATATATTGTAGCGGATTGGTGTACTTTGTAGGCCCTGAGGAGCCATGTGCGGTAGATTGGAATTGTGGCCCTTTAAATTTTGTGAGCACGAGAAAGTTCACCTTATGTGTAATTGCGGTGAGTGATGGAAGAAGTGATCTAGACCTTTGGCATCTGATATCATAATATCGTAATGCCGAGTACGTTGAGCTGGCCACGGTTCAAGAGTGCATATAGCTAGGCATCATGTAGCGAATAGTTGATAGATGATTCGTAAAGCCTACCAGTAGTACTGTGAACAGACGATGGCCGGGGGATCCGGACCGTTGCCCAAATCAGTGGAGGGGAGATGTAGACAGATCCTCTAAATCTAGCTAGCACCATCAAAGACTTCCATACATACAACCTACATGTACGTATACTTGCATCGTAAGGAGAGATTACAAGACTCGCTACTTACGGATGAGGGTTACTTGTCAATAGTTAGTAACCTGTCTTCACAGCTACTAACTACGCGCAGAGAGAACACTCAGCTGCACAAGCAGAACAGATATGCCAGAATGGCTGGTATATCTTCGCGGCGAGAGGAACCACAACCAATCAAATCTTTTTACATTGCAGCCAGCACAGTGCGACTTTCAGACACCCACGAATTGACTCCCGCCCTGGCTCACTCTTGGTGTTTAAATTCTTCACCGACTTGCTCGCCCTGGATTTGGTACAATTAATTGCAAGGGTGTGTACAGACAGACATCTGTCTTCCATTGAATCCCCTCATACCCGCTAACAGAGGTCTAGGTAGAGTAGCAAGCTACATGTAGCTAGCTTAGTGCATCCACCGTCATTGGATACATCTAACCACTACACACACCCCAACACATGCCTCTGTCTGCCTTGACCTTGGTACCCGCCATATATCCCCCCCACGACCCTGGTCATGCTCCCGCACCGGATGTGCTTCTAGCTAGCACATAGGTATTACCGGCCAATACGTTGATATTGATGTGCGGCTCAAGTGCAAGTGCTTGTACTATACTCTACCTACAGCACACACTCCCGCCGTTAGCAATTAACCCCCCTACAAGGGTGAGCGACTGATGAGCTGAGCCGAATCGAATCGATGAGAGGTGAGGGAGAAAGAAGAAAAAGAAAGAACTACATACATACATTGCATAGCTAGGTCCCATATCACACACGTGCACGTGCACTCACAATGTACTAATTCTGAAGGCCCTCGATATTACAGTAGGTATTCTACATCAGGTACTCCAGATCGTTGTATGTAGCCAGTCTATTTTTGAACCCTGCTCTACCAATTGGTGGTAAGTATAGCCGATGCTGATGCTGTTGTGCGGTGATAGGCTGGCGGCACCACACTCTGACCGTTCTTTCTTTGGCGGATATACTTTACATATACTCTATAATACGAAGTCATCTTTCGGGGTTGCGACCATAAACAGCGGTCTGATGAAAATACCCGAGAGTTGGCAAGAGACAACGTCAGACACCGAGTTTTTAGCACCATCTGTTCCTCTGCTGCCCAAGGATGTTGTAATCAATTGGGAGAAAATGCCAAGCGCGCTCTAAATACCCTACACAGGATACTCAAGTCTGGGTATTGGCGGTTCTAGAAGGGCGAGTGACGGGTCATGTTACCTCCAATTGGGAATGGTGCAAATGCGATCTAACTACATGTGATTTGATTCTGGCATGCATGGGGTATTGATAAAGCCAGGAACACCCCTTGGACCTCTTATCAATTGGTATCGCATTCTCTCAAGTAAACCAAACTACATGTAGCTGCGCCCCGCGCGCTACAGTGCTACTCTACTGAAGCACGAATTCGGATAATTGATTCTGTCTTTAAATAAAGTGCCGGGAGAATCGAAACAGATGCCGAGGTGCTCTCTCTTCTCTACGTATGCATGCATGCATGCAATATAGTATATTCTAGCAAGGCTGACAAAATTTAAAAAATAACCCTAGGTAGAGTAGGAATGGTGCAAGGCTGCGGGTTTCGGGCCCTTGCATTATACATATAATTATTGCTTACCCACATCACGTTCAGGGGTAAGATCTGCTATCTACAGATTCTAGAATGGTGCTGGATATATACTGACCGACGTATTACTCTGCTCAAGATGATTAGGTTCGTCATGTTTAGTGCAGTAGCCGTCCGCCCCATTGGAATGCGGGGTATATTGGAGTCGATGCAATGGAAACAGATGCTTTTGTGTCTTGACGGGTTACGCATGGTACATGTACCGCCAAAACTCGAGAAATTGGCTATGCATGCAAGATCAAAATTACTACTAATGGTCACTTCTGAGGCTGATCAATAGCGTTCAACCAATCGTTAAAGAGATAATCCCTGGCCGGAGATAGCCAATTTATCGAGTTTTGGCGGTATGTATGATATGCAACCCTTCGACACCCTAGCACTGCTATCTCATGTTACACTGTTTGGCAAATTATTTGTCTCTGACAGACGTTATCGAAATCTAAACAGGAATATCATCTGGACCAATCAATAGCTGCTTTCATGTCGCGCTGCATGATATTTTATGATACTGCTGCTGCTGATAACTCGTGGGGCTGTGTCAGAATAATGCATTGTCGGGGTACCCCGTTCTTCACAGACAGACAGAAAGATCCTTTCGAGTCATTTGTCGATGCGTCCTTTGGCTGCTGTAGCTACGTGTCCAGCTTGATGGAAAGAGGAAAAGTAACTGTGTTTTGAAGATAAATCATCAACTGGCGCCTTTACATATATAAACAGGGTTTCGCTCGCTGCAATTCGCCAGTCTGGCTTGGCTCATCATATACATATATCTTCCATATATACCTGCAACAAACCCCACCAACAGTTCTAGCTTCAACGATACTCTGTATCTAATGACACTTACCCGCCCAAGATGGTGAACTTCACCGCCTGCAAAATCGCCTTCGAAACCAACGCCACAAACCTAGAACTCTACAGCTACACCGGCCTCACCCCCAACCTCCCCCTCGGCCCCGGCAGGTCATACCTCATCAGCGAGCACGGATGCCGCACCCTCTGCGGAACAGGCGCGGAGATTTACCCATGGGCGACGGCGGCTAACACCATCACGACATGGGTCCTCCCGATCATTGGCCTCTTGCTGCAGGCACCCTTCGAGAGTAACCAGGTCGCAAAGACATTCCTGGCGACGTGCCGATGGATCGGGGCGCCCATAGCCTCGTTGTCGTATATTTTCTGGAACATCAAGATCACGGGCAAGTGCGCGATCACGGTCGATATGGCGGTCGACTACAATGCCTTCCCGGGGCCGGGATCGGAGTTTAGTCAGTTACGTGACTCGTTCTATATCCTCAGCGTGATGAACCAGTATGCGCTGAGCGCTGAGCTGGATCGTGCGGGCCCGAGTTCGACGGAGCGGTTTCTGCGCGTGGCGCTGTTTGATAATGATTTGGCGTTGGCGAATCCGAGAAAGGGGATGGTGCATAGGAGGGAGAAGTTGGCGTGGTCGTTGAGGAGCGGGAGGAAGAGGGGGGTGGTGCCGATTTTTATATCAACGTTGTGGTTTTTGTTGTCGTTGGCTATTTCGATACATGCAGGTATGTGGGGTTTCTGGTTATATCTATCATTACTATTTTCATATATACTGTCTATTTACACATATCCCACACACGAGCTCTACTGACTATGGTATGTCAACCAGCCTTCGGCAGCCTCGGAGTCAATGCCACCGCCCATAACCTAGCCATCGGGCTACTACTCGGCTGGCTACCGGTTCTGACCCTCAGCAGCATCACCGACCGCAGCCCGGGCTCCGCCGACGACGTCCGCCGCAAACTCAACCGCTTCCTCGCCCACATCCACCAAGGCCTGCAGGCCGACACCACCAACCCACGCTACAAAGGCATCCAGCTCCCCTCGTCCTCCGACAACCACGACTACTTCACCTCCTTCTGTGGCCAGGCGCGCTCGCGCTGGCACTACGGCATCGCGCACGCCATCCTCACCGGCACCGAAGACGCCTTCGCCGCCGCCCACGGCCGCAACTGGACCGCCCACCACAACGCCCGCACCATCCTCATCTGCGCGCCCCCCGCAACGCGCCACAACAACATCTGGTTCGACTTCCGCGAGCTCTGGCAGATCATGGGCGCCACCGCGCTCGTCGGCTGCTCCGTCTTCGGCTCCTTCATCATCTCGTACTTCACGCCCACCGTCGGCCTCGGCTGCCGCAGCGGCGGCTACCTCATCTTCTTCATCATCACGCTGGCGCACTTCCTCGCCGAGTCGGCCGTGTGGTGGGTCTTCCCGCGGCCGTCGCGCACCCGCGACAGGATCGGCTGGGCGTTTACGCTGATGGAGATGGCGAATACCGTGTGGCTTATCTACATTCTCAGCGCGCAGACGTTCGGGCTGTACCAGACGTGCGCGTGCTGGTCCAGCTCGTGGGGCAGCGGGAGCGGCGGCGGGTATATCAATTTCGGCACGTCGGCGTACTATAAGGCGCACATCATCGCTGTGTATTGGACCACGGGGACGATATTGTCGTCGCTGGCGATGGGCGCAGGGTTTCTGTATGTGGTGGCTGAGTGGTGCACGCAGAGCCACATGTGGACGGAGGACTATGGGGATGCGATGGCGGGCCTGAAGGCTACGAGGAGGTTTAAGAAATATACGAGCTGGTTTCGGTGTGTGCCGGATTGGGTTATTGTCAAGTTTAAGACTCACAGGCCACGGTGTTTGGGGGAGAAGAAGGGGAGGAGGAGCTTGGTGTGGAGGTGGAAGACGTTGCCGACGTAGCTACAATTACATGAGCTGGTAGTTGCATCTTGGGAGAGCTGATTTTGGTTTTGGTTTTGGATGGCGTCTTTTTTTCATGGTTTAGAGATTTGGAAGCAGGTTTTCTTTTCTTCTTTTGGTTATTGATTGATCTCGCTACAGGTTTAGTTTTTTATTTTATTTTATTTTTTATCTGTAATATTAGAGTATCTCCCAGCATAGCAAAATATCATGCCTCAACAAGCAACACCCAGTCGTTATCAGTAGTCCCAGTACTTGGTGGTCGAAACGTGACATTCATGCGCCGTTCTACAGGACCTGAAATAGCAGTATATGTGCCATTCCTTGGATCATACCAACTCGCCGCCAACCTCCCAGAGGCCACCAGCTTTGTCGTGTCCGCCATGAACGGAACACCTCTGGGACTGTACACGGCCAGCCACTTCCCACCAGAGTCTCTTGTACCGCTGACACGATCGACGCTGTCCCAGTCGTACGAAGTAACGATTGACTGATCTGGAACCCGGGTGAAATACGTGCTGCGGTCCTCAATGAACCTTCGTACATGACCCATCTGTCCGGCACCATCGAAGCTTAATGCTGTCTGCCAGTCCCTCGTCGGCTTTGCACCCCGATAGCTTGCATTGCGTGCTGGGTCGTAGAACTGCCACATGGGATGGCATCCATAACTGGTGATCGATATATCACAGTCACTGATAATCAGCATTACTCGCATATTGCAATTAAGTGTAACATATCGTACATTAGGTTCCGTCAATGCCGAACCATATATTTCCAAATGCATGGAACGCTGCAGAAGAAGGCAGAATCACTTACACATGTCCCGCTGCCCCCGCAAACACCGCATGCCAAGCACCGTTCCTAACCAGGCTGGCGTTCCACCGCTGCCCGTTGATCCCCGGCCAGTCCTCGTAGTGGTTCTCCAGATCAATGACTGGTCGCGCGGGGACACGGGAATACATGATTTCCACCGGCTCGTAGTTTTTCATGGCCACCCAGCTACCTGCGGGAGGTGTGGTCACGACGTAGGTGTCGTGGCCGATGTTGTGGCCGGACTGCACGGCGTCCATGGTGAGCCAGGGCTCATGGCCGAAGAAGGAGGATGCGAGGGCGGAGGGCGTGCCGGCAAGCCATGTGACGGTGCTGTGGTAGGTTAGGAAGGCGGCGGGGCCTTCGTGTGTGCGGATTCCGTTGGCAAGCGCGGACCAGACGGCGCCTGTGTCGGTCATCGCCACCATGGATATGTCTTGGTCGAGGGTCGGTTTTGCGTGGGAGGACAGCTCGAGCCAGGGGCCCCAGTATCTGGTTTGTGATGTTAGGATACATGATTCGCAGTGTGTGCGCGCGGGGTTAGAGGATTAGGTATATACCGATTCGAGTCTCCTCCTAATATCTTTGGTAGTCCTGCATAACGCTTCCCGATATATTCACCAAACACCTTCGCATTATCCTCATCGAATATCACCGGCGGTCCATGATATCCTTCAATCTCCCGCCAAAGTTATATATCCGATCAGTACACATACTCTATTGCCCATGAACAAACCCTGATTAGACCTCTATAGATATTGTACTCACCTTCGCTGACATACCTCCCCCAGGTTGGCACCAACGCAACTCTCATCCCTAGCGCCCACGCCTTATCCACCACCTCATCTATATAGTCAAAATACGCCTCCACGGGCCTCGTCGGGTCCGCATCTACCAGTGGCAGATCTCCATTGCGGTTCGGGACCACTAATCCGTCATTTTCCGCGATTGCGACAGCCTGGATAACGGTGTAGCCCTTTGATGCGCGGTCGGAAAGATAGGTGTCGACCTGTTTCATAGGTTAACATGTGAAGAATCTTTATGAAAATGGTTACGTATATACTTCACTAGAGTTAAGAGCATGGAAAAGCTCCCAGGCGGTGTCGGCGAGCCAAAAGAAGGGCGCGCCGGTATTGTCCACGAGAAAACGGTTGTTGGGGCTTGGGTGTAGGGCGAGGTCATGCCAGCGGGAAGACGAAGAGAGGGCAGTCGTGCTCGACATGCATATTGCTAACGAGCATATGAGTGCGCGTAGTGACATCTTTAATAGCTATTTCCCGGTATGTCCAATTTATTTAGTACTGATATGGATGCTGTGCTACTTATATAGTAGCGAATCATATCCTTGACCCGGACACCAATTTATACCGAACCTTGTCCAAAGAGCGTTAATTCTATGCCACTCTGCGGGGACTGTGGGGAAACTCGGTAGGAGTAATGATCGTGCCGAGGCCGGATAAGCTCCGGCGAATAAAGAGTAACTCCGGTGCACTGAGCTACTCTACAGCACTGCTCTGCTATGATATGCCCTACTGCAGATATCGTAGAAGAATGTACTCTATTGGTTGGTAGATGCAGGCGCAATGGAACCTACCCATGTCAGTACTGCAGTTCACTGCAGAGCCGAATTGGGCTATCGAATCAAATAATTGAGGGACCTGCGTAGATAATATCCATTTTTAAGGTAATAGAGACAGCTCGGTTATCTTGGCGCCAAGAATTAGTAACATTTAGCAATCGAGTGAGAAATGGTGCGGATAAGAGCTGGTTGAACAAACTGGTACTAGTTGAGGTTCAGCGAGCTGCAATTAGTGTTCCAATACGTAACACCGAACTAATTAACGATAGAATAGTAGAGGTACCGAATATATCCGCTATCGGCAGACAGGGTGTGCTACGGTTGGAGAGAGTTGGTGCTGTTCTATCTCGCTCCTATCGATACTGGCATGAGATCGAAGGTAGATAGGAGGTTGACAAAATCGGGAGGAACGGTTATTTGGGCGTGATTAAGATAGTAAGCTGCTTGTGGGTGAGATACAGTTGTTAGGGGAGGAGCGACGTAGGGAGTTCTTCCCTAAGAAACAGTAGAAAAATATATTAATACTAAATAAGTTCCTGTGGGCTCGAGTCATTACACGTACTTGTGACCGGTGGGCAGATTACTGGAACTGATAACTCCTAAATCTGTTACTGAGGGTATCACAGGGGCAGCCATCGAGAGAAATGCTATGATGATATTCAAATGAAAGGATAACCCGATAAGTGACGGAAAAGAAAAAGAATGCAGGCAGATCTACGTATAAATTGGGGTGAACATGAGGGCACAATGGCATCTTTCAGGACGTGTGACTGACTTGTGGCCACTAATTAGCTCCCTCCTATCGAGAATGCTGCCGCCACCATTCCGGGCAGGCGCTTGTGTTCAAGCAACGTAATGTCGTAGACATATATATCCAGTTTGAATCGCGAGTGCCTCATTTCTCCAATGTCCTTATCGTGAATCTCCTGCTTGCATGCCCCTGTGTCAACTTCACCGCTCCGTCTTATCTACGCCGAGTCTATCAAATCTTGGTAAATATATGTTATCTAGATGAGCGGCCAATTTTTATCCTTAGCAGATTTTTCTTCCTGCTATAAATACCGATAAATCTCCACTCCACTCTTTCTCTCTTTTACAAAACATACTTGCGCGCATGCTTGCGTTCTTGCTCTAGCAAGCAGGCAGGAGAGGTTTTCCCTCCTGTTTGCTAGCTAAAGTAAGAACTGAGCTGCAACCATCTATCTTCGTGGCCCTCTGTGCACCTAGTTCTCTTTTGAACTGGGAACATGGCCTTATTACCGGTTTCCCCGTTTAAATCTTTTTTTAAACGGGAACCGCGAAGCTACGGATGCAGCATTCCTTGGTGGGTTAGGGTTACTTTTTTGTGCTTGTTTTTTTGTATGTAGTTCATTTGTGTTTTTATATAATTAATTCACTTTTTTGGTTAAAAAACCATTTTCCGAAGTATTTAGCTATATTGGTTTTTACTTCGTACCAATGATTTGTAGGATTTGTTTCTATTCTCCACATCCTAAGGCATTTAGCCCAGCACGAGATTCCAGGACCGTGATGTCGTAAACGGCTCTTAAGGCATAGATTATGCAGCAACCTTCGAAGTTCACAATATGAGCCTGATTTTCTTGGGAATAGCTGAACGAAGCCCTTCATTTGAATGAACGTATACGCGTAGCGGAAGAGAATCTCGAAAATCGCGAAGAGACTTGGTAGGGAAGATATTACTCTTGATAAGTACATGTAGTTGACATATATTGTAAGTTCAATCCCATGACTAAGTACATCGTTCCACAGAAAATCGATGATACAAAATAAAAGGCTTTCTACACTAATACATGTTTGATATAGATAATATGATACAGGCACTAAACAGCCTGTAATCATCCTACTTGTACGGGATGTGTCGTTAGATTCTCTAACAGAGGGCGAAAGTCGCATCTTGATAAGAAAAGAAGCCAAATAAGAAATTCGTAAAAATGAAACAAGCAGACATCTAAAAAGGTAAGAAAATAAGGAGAGACATGAAATCAATCCACCGTCACAACGTTCTTCAAACCATCTCCTCTGAGATGAATGTCTAATCTCGGAAGCCTAGGTTCGCCCTTACCATACGGCTGCTCCGCATCCTCACGATACATATCTGTGACCCACTTTGCGTTCGGTTTCATTTTATCTCCCTTCGCTAGTTTCACTGCTAGATATAGCCAGCAAGCAGCATTACCAACTGTGCTTACCTCATCGCTCACAGATACTTTTGCAAACTCGCTCAGCCGTTTATATAATCCTCTATCGGTGTAGAGATTATATAGATGTTTTGCAACAGCGGTGGAGTCGCCAACTTCGACGAGATACCCGTTTTTGCCATGCTGGACCTGAAGTGGGATTCCACCAGCCCGAGTTGCAATTATGGGCTTACTTTTGTGGATCGCTTCGGAGACCTTGACTTCGAAGCCCTCGCGGGTAGAAAGCTGTACGACGAGTTTGGCGCAGGAAAGGATGGCATTGAGGACTATGTGTGATGTGTTAGTGCCATTGAGACTCGTATATAAAGGTCTGAGGGGTTATACTTTGATCACTTGGCCCAATTCTCATGACCACGACATCTTGCCTAATTTCGTCATAGCAAGGCTCATCGAGTTGCTTCATTGTCAGGTCGTAAATGATGGATGCATCTGGGTCATCAATGGCTCCATGCCCGCAGCTAGGATAAAAGTTTCAGCATTTCATTCCTTCACGAAGCCAGGGAACGCGGGGATTTCATACATCAGTAGTTGAGGAGTGACCATCCCAGGGGCCTTTTCTTCCAGCATTTCGCGGAGTTTTCTATATGATTCGATGACGTCTGGAATTCCCTTACTGGGATCGAAACGGGCAACCTGGGTGACGTATTCACGGACTGGATACTGTAGCATGTTCCTAGAAAACAGGATTATTATTAGAGCCTGTAAAGTGACCACGGTCATTTCTAATGGATCACCTACATTCCAATATCTGCGCATGCGTTCCTCAGGTTGTGATGGTAATATCTTAAATCCCAGTCTCTAAGGTCCTTGTTCAAGCCGTCCAGCCTAATATCACTCGTTAACACATTCAATCAAACAGGATAGGAGAAACGAAACATACCAATCGGTACAAGCTGGCATCAAACCGACCATGGACATCGGAACCTGAGCTGGCACAAACCTATCCACGGGATGACTGATAAATACATCCGCAAGTTTAATTCTATCCCATAGGAATTTCCACACCTCCGCCTGAGGACTTCCTTCAACTCCGATAAGATCGCTTCTGAGCTCGATATGGCTTCGGTAGATGACTTTAACGTCCGGTCTATGTGCTTTGATAAGTGGGATGAGACCAGGCATTTGTGGGTCGTCAATGACGACAACGTCTGCACCACCCCTTGCCAATGGACCACCCTCACCAAGCCAGTAACGGTTGGCATTATATGAGATCCACTCCTCCATCATGCGTTGTCTCTCCTCATCCAGTCTTTCGAAGGGATCAGCGACACCTTGAAGGATGTTGTGATTTGTTTTCGTGATCCTAAACACCTTTGGATTTGGCTTGGGAATATACCTAGATGACCAATATCAGAAAAAGTTCAAGCAGAATCATGAGGATTTTTGCACAAACCATTGTACATTAACACCCAAAAGCCGATAAAATCTGATTAGAGCATGCCTCATGAGCGCTACCCCTCCGCCCTGTGGCGTCGCCGAAAAGAAAGCGACCTTAGTCTTGCATTTCTTAAGTTCATTGGCGTACTTTAAAACGCTGTTCCAGGTCCCTTCATGGACTGTCTTCTGGTAGCTTTCCAAGCATGTTACAAGCTCGATCCTCCCGCCAATATCTGGCTCAACCCTATTTCTGAATCCAATAGACAAAGAGGGATTGTTTCCAGGGCCGAAATTCCTGATACATTTCCTTACTGCGGAATCCGCCTGCTCGTCGACGTCGATAGGGATTGTTTCCGTCGACTCGCCCTTTATACCGTCCGAGAATTCGAACTTTGGGAACTCCGTTTTTACTTTGAACCTCATTACGACAATGTCAAGCTCGCTCCATAGAAACGAAGGCATATCCGGGCAGAGGCTCGCGAGAGATTCCGTGATACCACATCCAACAAATTTTGCATGGTGTTCTTTTGAGTATTTGTTAATGGTCCCAATGGCATCTCCTTTAAGGGCATCGGCGACGTTCTCGCCAGGGGAGATATGGAGAGTGTGTACGCAGAAGTCAACGGAATATACGCCATCGTGGATAGAGATTCCGACTTCAATAGTGTTTTCGTCGATCATTTTTGCTGCCGCGCCGACGTATAGTATCTAATTTGTTGATATTAGAAAAAGTCTCCGAGTATACCGGGCAGGCAAGTAGCTATTTTACTTACTGTTAATGCAATACCGGCCCAATTCACTGCCTCGTCTACGATGCTGATTGAGCGTTTTCGTTCACTTCCGCAAAGGGAGTGGAAGCCATGCGGACAATCGATTGCATGTGGCGCCATGGTTGAATGGTTATAGTCGTAGTAGGTTTCGTTCTTTGTATTCAATCTGCGATGAAATATTGTTTAGTATGCAATTGGAAGTACTGAAATTGAAGTAGACGATTGACGATGAAAGGCACATTATATACCAATTTTATCCCCCCAATTCTTTAAACTT